AGTTCAAAAGATATATGCAAACTATTTTGTCAAAATTTGCCCTTAAATCGCTTGTAATTTGATACTTGATGACGTCATGATGGCATTACAAAAATTAAAACATCTTCGTAACAAGGTACAAGTTCACACAAGGTTTTGTGATCATACCATAAACCGTTCGGAAGAAATTTTGCTTTGTTTTGATTTCAAGCTAACTTCTTCATTTTGAATTCACCTAACTTTGACCTTCCGGTAGCCCCGGAAGGAAAGGTCAAACGACTTTGACTTTAAATCAAAAATGTTTATCAAGGTATTGTCCATCAGATCATAAAATATGAACGTGATCGTTCATTTTGTTCATGAGTTATAATTGACGGAAAATTGTCATATTTTGACCAAAAATCGCTTGTAATTTCGTCGCTTTGGTCACGAAGTGACAAAAACCTCGAAAATCAATAATTATTCGATTTTGAGTTTTACTAGCCATTTTATTATAGTTGTCTCAAGGAACAACTTGACCGAGTTTGACAAGATGTGTCCTGCTCCTCACCTTTTATGCTCGGCCACAGGGACTAAGTTAGACTTAATTCTGCTTATAGGGGTGGATCATAATTTGGCTTCGAGGGGAAGGGTGAGCTATCACGGGGATGGGGGTGAGGTGTTAGCAACTAGTGTCTGTCCCATTTCTTTTGCGGCTTAAAGAGGGTTTGACCGCCTTACACCCTCTTATATAATTATCAGCGTCAGGGCATTGGAAATAACCCCTCAAATTCTGTCTCGTCTTATTTTCAGCCGAGTGGTGTCAAACAGTGGCTCTTCAAAGAAGACTGCGAAAGCACGAGTCCTAACATCGTGGGAGTTCAGTGCGGGGTTGTCAGTCGTCACGTGCCGGCCCTCTTCATAAATCTCAGCGAGATCGAGCGCACTGGTGGAAGCAGTGAGGACTTCGACTTCAACGACGTTGTCGTACAAAGCTGCGTTACTATCCAACTGTAGACTTGGCTTGTTATTTTTTCTTTTTCGGATAGGTCTATTTCTTCCGATTTTTTTTTCTGGATCCAGGGAGGGCCAGTCTAAAGTTCTCTTTGCGCCTGAGCTGACTCATTGACAGCTTCACTCACTGACTGCCACTTAGCGTGGCCACTCATAGAAAACCCAAGACGACCAGACAAATTCCCAAGATTTCCCAAGACCTCAGAATTATTTATCAAAACAGCAGAAAATATCGTATTTTTACGTGTATGTGGCTCATGGAGCGCTGGAAACTGAAGATGATGGGGATGGGGATGGGGATGATTACAGATGACGACGAAGTCTCACCTTGGCCTTGTCCAAAAAAATAGAAATGGGATTATCCCGTAACACCTGTCCAATGAATGGGCTAAATCCAATCCATTGTGCCCAGACCACATGCATGGAAAGACTTCCAGTGAGTAATCATTCTGAATCGATTTAGTATTATGATTTTGTGGAGGAGTCTTGGACCAGCTTATACTGAGATTGCCTTGTCTTGTTTTAAACGCACTTAAAACAACCTTCTTACTTCCTTAATTAAGTATATTAAGCCATGAACTCCTGATTACCGTCGTACAATTGTTTTCTTTTACCGCAGATAGCTTCACCAAGTTTACGGGATCGTCTGGCCGGAGCGGCTAGATGCTGACATTATACATGTACAGGGTGAGTCAAAAAAAAGAGCGGAACCCAAACCCCCGAAAAATATATTTCATATTTAAAAAAAATATGTAGCACCAAAAATAATAATGACTGGAACGCCAATTTCATAAGCTACTTTTAGATGAAAAGAATACTGAAATTGCTCAATCCGTTCAAAGAATATCACCATTCAAACGCAACGACCCTAAAACCTTTCTCGTCCTAAAAAGCAATTTATTGTTTGTTTTGACTGTTTGGAACAACAAAGAAAATGACACAGAATACTTGTTTCAACAACTGTCACCACCTGTAGTGCACAATATCTTTATTAAAAACCCCGGTTAGGCAAACAATAGGCCTATCATTTATAAAATCGACTTTTTTTAAAAAAGACGGGCCTTCAAAAGGACTTTGTTGAATATTTAAACGTTTAAACTGAGATTTTATCGCTGGTGATGTTTGTAAAGACAATCGTGACGACGATTCTTGAAATCGCATTTTTTGACGAGACAGATTTTTGGGCCATTGTGTTTAAATGGTGATATTCTTTGAACGGATTGACCGATTTCAGTAATTTTTTCATCCAAAAGTAACTTATGAAATTGGCTTTCCAGTCATAATTATGTTTGGTGCTACAACTTTTTTTAAACATGAAATATACTTTTTGGGGTTTGGGTTCCGCTCTTTTTTACTCACCCCGTATATGGGCATGGAACCGGCCAGTCGACCCAGGAAGCTCGGTGGTCGAATGGTAATTTGTGTGGGTTCGAGTCACACAACAGACTGCCACATGTTTGAAAAGCACTGAGCAAACGATGTTTGTGTAAAATTACGTATGATGTCACAAGGGCAAAACCTGTTTGGGGGGGGGGGGGGGGGGGGGGTCATCAAGTTACGCCTGTGTACAGGGTTCGGAGTTACGGTCTTTGATTTCTATATTATACACTTTTAGGTGAACATTGGTGACGTCAACCAGTCAATCTCAAAAGATTTGTAGTTATTTTGTGATTCAATGTCGCACGCAATTTAAACAGTAAATTGGAAGTAACTCAATCAATGCTTATTACCAAGACAATGGTTGCATTTCCGCCTGTTTTTTTTCAACTGAGACAGGTCGATCGATCATAACTGAAAACTAATTTTGGCAAAGTGGCAGCATCAGCCACCTGTGAACATTCACTCATCTGGTGTGTTTATGTAATGTGCAAAATACAGTCTCAAAAAGCAGGCAGCCTGAGGTATATCGGTTTTTCAATGGCCAGATTATTTTCTGTTTAATGCACTTTCTCTTTCACGAAGGTTACATGACGCTTTGCTCACGAAGTGACAAAAACCTCGAAAATCGATAATTATTCCATTTTCAGTTTTACTAGCCATTTTATTATAGTTGTCTCAAGGAACAATTTGACCAGGTTTCAAGGCAAAATATCGTTTACTTTCTTAATTATTGTAAACAAACAATTGACAAAAAGCCTGAAATCGGTGATTTTCATTTTTACGAAGTGTAAAAAAAATGTAAAATGTTCTCACGAAGTGACAAAAAGTCGCCTCGTAAGCAGGGCTGGAGGAATTATACATTGGTCTACACGCGGCAGGATGGGAGCATACCCGCGCGCGCGAACGATGTAGAGAAACATAGATATCCGGTTCGTTAGTAAAAACGTCATACACGCGCGCGCCCAACTGATTACTAGCGCCCATTGGCTACAAACGCTCGAGCTGCGTTAACTTCCGGTTCCAATCATGCAGAAAGTGCTGGAAGTGACGTCACACTAACGAACCGGATAGATCGCTTGCAGACGCGATCGATAATTGACGCGCGAAGGTGCGCGACGCCATGTTGTGGGACAAAATGAGCATGGATAGATATACGCTTGTCCCACAACATGGTGTCGCGCGCCTTCGCGCGTCGATTATCGAACGCGTCTGCAAGCGGTCTATAGAATAAAAAGACAAAGAACAGACGCGCGCGCGCTCAACTGTCGCGCGTGACGCGCAAAAGTAACATGTTTGTTGCGTCGAAAGAAGTACAAATATTAAAGTAAAGCCTCCGCGATTCATGATCCCACGAAGTGACAAAAACTGTGTACAAAGTAATTGGCAAAATATGGGACCCAAAGTATTGATGTTCTCACGAAGTGCAAAAAAGTTTAATTACTGTTTAATTACGAACTATTTTTAACAAACAACTATGAATTAACAAAGAACAAATCATATCCTATCGGACAATGCAAACATTTCCGAATTCTGTTACTGCAAAGTGGTCGAAGATGTCTTTTGAAAAAATTAATAACTTCAAATGCGATTATCTCAAGATCAACTTTTGTCCAATTTTGAGGTTTATGTCACTTCGTGAGCAAAACGACGATGTAATCTGGCTACAATAGAAAAATAAATGCACGACTGACTTGACGCAAATATACCGCGCCTAGTCAGTAACGTTTTGAAAAGCCTGTCCCTATTTTTAACAAAGAAAACCATTATGATTTATGCCACACTGAGCACAAAAGAAGAGGCGGTTTCGGTCGGGGTTATTTCATTGCGTACACGAAAATTGTGCCTCGACCTCTAAGCTGTTATATTTTTTGTTGGAAGCATTTCGCGAGCATTGTGCAAATGTTAAAAGCAGAAATTACTGTCGAGTGTCTCTGTGATTAACATTGAATAAAAAAATCGTAATTGTTACTCGATTTGGCGATCATGAAGGTTGCTAGTGTACTTGGACATTTGTTGGTCCTCCTCACGCTGACTGGGGGAGTGTTGTCTGTTTGTTGTCCTTCCTGCGGCACGCGGTCCATCACCAGACTGAACGTGACCCAGCTGCAGCAGGTCGAGGACAACCGCGCGTTCATCGAGGAGTTGGACGCGAACCCCGACCTGCTGTACAGCAGCGAGTACCAGCGGGAGGTGGTCACCCTGACCAGGAAGCAGGAGTACGAGATCCTGCGCAATTTCCCAGAGGTCTTCCTGACAGAGCGGGCGTACATGGAGTCCAAGCAAGGCCTGGGCACGATCACCACGCCGAACAAGACTGTCACCCGTAGGCGCCGGTCGCCCAGTAGCGATACGGAACCGGTCATTCTAGTGCGGAAAGCCGGCGGACAGGTGGTCCACATGGGCGTCGCGAGGGGGGGGGGGGGGCAAGGGGGCGCTTGCCCCCCCCCCCCCCCCCGGAAAAGCAAAAAAAAAAAAAAAAAAAAAGGAAGGAAAAAAAAGAGAAAAAAAAAGAAAAGAAAAAGAGGTGCGAAGTCATAGTGTTGTAAATTTAATGAGTTGGGGGGGGGGGGGGGGCCAAATGTCCCTGCCCCCTCTAAAACTGATAAATTGAGAGAAATACAAGAATTTTTTGGGAAAAATATGTTTTGCCCCCCTCTAGAAAAATCCTGGCGACGCCCATGGTGGTCCAGTTATCGAATGTAAGGTTTCTTTTTCTTTTTGTCGGACATCTGGAATGGTTGATCGGTTACAGTTCTTTTGATAATTTGCCAGATCATTTGGAGCCGGAAACCTCGGCCACCAGCGAATCCAACTGCAACTGGTCCACCGTCATCTCTTCTAGACTGCCATATGCCAAGACGCCAGCACTGTTTACCTAAATTAGAACAATATTGGATAAAAATCAAATTGTACTCGATATGATTTGGCTATGTGTTCCATGTTTTGGTTATCGCTTAAGAATTGTTACTCGATTCCTTAAAGATGAAATTGCAACACTCACCAAAATGTTGACTTTCTGGAATTTCTCGATGCTCTTTTTTAACAATTACTTCACATCCTTTTCATCCCCCAGATCTGCTTTTACCACTAAAATCTATACCAAAAAAGTGGGTTGAAAAGAAGACGATTTTATGAGCAATGCACAAAATTATTTCAACTCGTCACCTCTTGATTTTTATACATATTAAATCTGATAATTATGGTGACACACTTAACCGTTGAGGGCGCTACAAGAATTGTTGATCGCTTGCGTGCTACTGCATGACAGTCTCTACAGATGGGTCATGGCGAGGTCATTATGACAGAACATGTTAGGAAATTACGTTTCTCAGCAAAATTACTCTCTTAAATTAAATTCAGCTAAAATGCACGTTGTATTATTCTTTTTGCCTTTCCTGTTTAATATTTTTGGCCGCATGAGGGCGCTTTAACAACAATAACATGTCACAGATTTAGTAACTTGATTATGTTTTGAATTATTAACTTTCTGAAAATAAATGTCAATATTTGTAAATTTTAATTTAAAGCAACATCTAAATATACGTCACTAAATTTAACTTCACGTCTCTTTGCATACTGGGCCCAAAACGGCGTCTTTATTGATAGAGCGACCTCAATGACATGTTGACTACCATTATATGCATCAGGACCTGTAGATCCCATCATGCATTTGAACTCCAACACCAAACAACAAACCTTGTCTTCATCCAGGCCCCTGTCCACACATTCCGCCTGCACGAGTCGGAGGTTTTCTTCGTTGCGACCCACGAGTACCAGCGAACAGCCTAGGATGGCAAGATGGCGCGCGATGCCCGCACCTATTCCAGAACTGGCTCCTACAGTGTCAATATAAGCAGGGCAAAATGACCAATAACGCACAACTGTTCACCAATGTTATAAAAATCATAATTATTCATTTGAAATCGAGAGAATTAATACAGTTTCACGAGGTAACTCTGAATGTAAGGATTATGTCTAATGTAATGTCATAAATGTCACATAGGACGTTGCTTGCAAAATGCGAGGTAAACACGAATGGAAAAGTCACATGAATAAATTGGGAAAAACACGTTAATTGCAGTAGTTGGTTTCTGTTGATACCTCAAATGCTATTTTTTGCCTTGTTTATAACAGCTGAGAGCTGGAATCATATACGCGCAAAGTTGATTTTGCATGTACGCCAACACATGAAACTACTTCTTTTGATCTTCACACCATGAATTCCATGTCCAAATTTATAACGAAGCAAAAGTATGGCTTTACGTACCTGTGACGATAGCGACTCTTCCATTCAAGAAACAACTCATTTTTTTCAAGATTTCTTGTCGACACCGCTTTCAGAAGACAAAAAAGAAGCTGTCTAATGGAAGATCCAAATGGGCCTAGAAATATTTCCCGCCAAATTCGCAAATGCTACGATACAGTATGGCAGAGCAGACGATAAACAAACGCTATCCAATCATTCAAAGCGAAAAAAATAATAACAATTTATGGAGTTCCGCAACGCCAGACGATATGCATTGACATCTACATGCCCAAAGTGAATAACATTGAAAACGTTCATATTAAGCACGCTGTTTCAGCGGGTTACCAGCAGAAAAACAAAAACGGATCACAAAGTGCCCGCTTGCTGCATGGAAACCAGCAATTTTTTTTTTTAGCACAGTCGAATACATTATGTTTCAAGGCGTGAATAAGATCAGTTGCAGTAACCAAAACGTTACGTACCGAATTATTATTTTTTAAAAATAACACGGATTAAAGATCGTACTGGCACTAAACACCCCGTGAAATGATTTCGTCTTGGTTGCTGTCATTTAAAAGAATTCAAGAAAATTTGGGTGATTTCAAACGATCAATTTATAGTTGACTGATTTTTTGGGAAATGCTAGTGTGCATAATGCATGCGTAACAAACTCTACAGAGTGGAGCAAAAAGAAGGAAACCCACTTTGACAGGAATTTTAACCTACTTATCTTATTTGAACCTTTTTTAAAATAATCTTTCACCATACATGGTGAAAAAAAAATGTGATTTCCAACGATCAATTAGTTGACTGATTTTTTGTAAATTAAAAAAAAATGTTTAAAAAAATCGCAAGAACAGCGTAACTATAATAATTTGAATACAAGTCACCAGAATCACTGTTGTCCACGTGTAAGTCTGTTGTATATTTTGGTCTTCAAATCAAGCTCCGGAGCTCAGTCAAGCGGATGGAATACGCCATCCGTGGGCAGACAGATTTGGCACATGACATTTTTAAACTACCATATCTCCGAGGCAAAATATGCATTTGTTTCGTCACTTCGGTTAAATGATCAATATTTTGATACCATCAAATTGAATTGTCAAAACATGCTCAACATGTAGGCATAAATTGCTGTCAAAAGTGGGTTTCCTTCTTTTTGCACCACCCTGTAGTGTAGATAGACGTCTTGGACTAAGACTGCTACACGGTACTCTTGTACAGTGCAAAAGGCTAACAGGAAACGAACAAAAGTCGGTTGACAATCAAAATCTGACGGATGGTTCAACGATTCCCGACCTTGGTAGCTGCGAGTAACCTGTCACACCTTCTGAATTGAGAAATTATATTTTTGTCTCCAAAGTTCCGGTAGGCCACTACTATTCGTGGGAACTATGAAAACACATTGTTCATTATTACGTGTGTATTCGGCTTATGGGACTAAAGGCACACGCCCTTGCTTCGCCACTCGGAGTTTGCGCAACGATAAGCACGTGATTTGATTTGGCCAATGGCGGTGCAGTATAGGGTATACATCAGGTCAAGGAAACAACTTTAATATTATCCTAACCTAATGGTTAGACAGCACTCTCCAAATGGGCATGGTTGGCCGACGTTGCATGCAGACAAAATGCTGAACTAACTTCAACAATCTCACGGAAAAGAAATAAAGATGGCAACCTATCCGATGCTACTGGTAACTTTGTGTGTGTTTATGACCGCGCTCGCAAAAGCCGATTTCCAAACATGCTGCCCTACCTGCTCGACGGACGCCATCGACTCCTTAAACGACGATCAAATGCAGCAGTTCCAGAACAACAGCGCGTTCATCCAAGAACTGGAACGGAACCCGATGTTACTGCTGAATGACACAAATCAGAGAGAAATCGTAAATCTGACCGAAGCTCAGGAGGAGCAGATGCTGAGGAATTTCCCCCAGTTGTTCCAGAGCGCCGAGGCTTTCGCCCAGTCCCAGGCAACCAGTGGAGTGGTCACCGTGCCGGGCAGCGGCAGCACCCGTAAGCGTCGACAGGCTTCTGGTGCCCGAATATGTCCGCCACGGTCGCAATCGGTCCCTCTCATACTGTTCAACAAGCCCAATGGTGACGTCGTCCAATTAGCACAGGCAAGTACATACAACGATATTACTTAAAGACATGAGCAATTTCTTCAAGGTGTCACATCTCATAATTAGTATCCGAGATGACGGCCCATGCACAGAACGGCCTTATTCGTGTGTAGCAAATTAATACCAGCCACTTGCATGGGCGTCGCGGGGGGGGGGGGGCAATGGGAAATTTGCCCCCCCCCCGAGGAAAAAAAGGGATAAGGAAAAAGGGGGAGAAAGGGAAAAGAGGTGCGAAGCCATATTGCTGGATATGTTAATTTGAGGGGGGGGGGGGTAGGGCAAATGCTCCGCTGCTCACGCTCAGAAACAAATGATAGATTGAGAACATAATGAAAAAGTAAAGGAATTAGGCCCTAGGGGGAAAAATTTGCTTTGCCCCCCTCCCCCCCCCCCCCCCCCCCCTGGAAAAAATCCCGGCCAAGCCCATGGCCACTTGATGAATATCACAAGATGTGTCCTGCTCCTCACCCTTTATGCTCGGCCACAGGGACTAAGTTAGACATAATTCTGCTTATAGGGGTGGATCATAATTAATTTGGCTGGGAGGGGAAGGGTGAGCTATCACGGGGATGGGGGTGAGGTGTTAGCAACTAGTGTCTGTCCTATTTCTTTTGCGGCTTAAAGAGGGTTTGACCGCCTTACACCCTCTTATATATCAGCATCAGGACATTGGAAATAACACCTCGAATTCTGTCCCGTCTTATTTTCAGCCGAGTGGTGTCAAACAGTGGATCTTGAAAGAAGACTGCGAAAGCACGAGTCCTAACATCATGGGAGTTCAGTGCGGGGTAGTCAGTCGTCACGTGCCGGCCCTCTTCATAAACCTCAGCGAGATCGAGCGCACTGGAGGAAGCAGTAAGGACTTCGACTTCAACGACGTTGTCGTACAAAGCTGCGTTACTATCCGACTGTAGACTCGGCTTGTTATTTTTTCTTTTTCGGATAGGTCTATTTCTTCCGATTTTTTTTCTGGATCCAGGGAGGGCCAGTCTAAAGTTCTCTTTGCGCCTGAGCTGACTCACTGACAGCTTCACTCACTGACTGCCACTTAGCGTGGCCACTCATAGAAAACCCAAGATGACCAGACAAATTCCCAAGATTTCCCAAGACCTCAGAATTATTTATCAAAACAGCAGAAAATATCGTATTTTTACGTGTATGTGGCTCATGGAGCGCTGGAAATATTTTTCTTCCGCATCCATACTTTTTCGTGTAGTCAATACGGAAAGAAATCCCAAGACTCAGCGAAACGTCCCCAAGGGTTGGCCTCATTTCCCAAGATCTTGGGGAAAAAAATCCCAAGGAGTGACCACGCTGCCTGCAACTTGTGAATTATAGACTAGTCCTGGCCCTCCCTGATTACCAGCAAAAGAACCAGTTGGAAGAAATAGAAATGGGCAGGACGGTTGGCAAGAAAAGAGGGTGAAATATTGAGTCGACTTAAAAGGGAATGGCAACAACTATATGGCAAAAGGAAAAGAGGGAGACCTCGGTCTAGATAGATGGAGAGATGAGTTGGTGGCGGAAACAGGGACAGCAGCCTTGAAGAGACGCACCAAGGACAGTGATAAATAACATGCTATGGGAGAGGCCTTTGCCCAGCAGTGGGCGATACAGGCTGAGGATAATGGGGATGGGGATGGGAATGATGATGATGACAGATGACGACGAAGTCTCACCTTTGCCTTGTCCAAACAAATAGAAATGGGATTATCCCGTATAACACCTGTCCACTGAATGGGCTAAATCCGATCCATTCTGAATCGATTGAGTATTATAATTTTGTGCGGAAGTCTTGGACCAGCTAATACTGAGATTGCCTTGTCTCGTTTTAAACGCACTTAAAACATCCTTCTCACTTCCTTAATTAAGTGAATTAAGCCATTAACTCCTGATTACCGTCGTACAAGTGTTTTCTTTTGCCGCAGATAGCTTCACCAAATTTACGGGATCATTTGGCCGGAGCGGCTAGTATCATGTTGACATGTATAATTTGGGCATGGAGCCGGCCAGTCGACCCAGGAAGCTCAGTGGTCGAATGGTAAATTTTTTGGGTTCGAGTCACACAACAGGCTGCAACATGTTCAAAAAGCACTGAGCAAACGATGTTTGTGTAAAATACGTATGATGTCAAGGGCAAAACCTGTTTTGGTAGGTTCATCAAGTTACGCCTGTGTACAGCAGTGGCGTAGCCAGGAATTTTTCAGTGGGGGGCGCTGGGGGGGGGGGGGGGGGGGCTGGAACATTTCATGGGGGGCGTCATGTAGATCAATGATATTTTTTTTAGAAACTCAAAATCTCAGTAGGGGGGGGGGGGACTGGGGGCGACAAGGTTTCATGGGGGGGGGCACGCCCCCCCCCTTGGCTACGCCTACAGGGTTCGGAGTTACGGTCTTTGATTTCTATATGCTGCACTTTTAGATGAACATCATGGTGACGTCAACCAGTCAATCTCAAACAAAAGATTTGTATTTATTTTGTGATTCAATGTCGCACGCAATTTAAACAATAAATTGGAAGTACCTCAATCAATGCTTATTACCAAGACAATGGTTGCATTTCCGCCTGTTTTTTTTTTCAACTGAGACAGGTCGATCAATCGTAACTGAAAACTAATTTTGGCAACGTGGCAGCATCAGCCACCTGTGAACATTCACTCATCAGGTGTGTTTATGTAATGTGCAAAATACAGTCTCAAAAAGCAGGCAGCCTGAGGTGTATCGGTTTTTCAATGGCCAGATTATTTTCTGTTTACAAATGAATGCACTTTCTCTTTCACGAAGGTTACATGTGATCTGGCTACAATGGAAAAATAAATGCACGACTGACTTGACGCAAATATACCGCGCTTAGTCAGTAACGTTTTGAAAAGCCTGTCCCTATTTTTAACAATGAAAACCATTATGATTTATGCCACACTGAGCACAAACGAATAGGCGGTTTCGGTCGGGGTTATTTCATTGCGTACACGAAAGTTGTGCCTCGACCTCTAAGCTGTTATATTTTTTGTTGGAAGCATTTCGCGAGCATTGTGCGAATGTTAAAAGCAGAAATTACTGTCGAGTGTCTCTGTGATTAACATTGAATAAAAAAATCGTAATTGTTACTCGATTTGGCGATCATGAAGGTTGCTAGTGTATTTGGACATTTGTTGGTCCTCTTCACGCTGACTGGGGGAGTGTTGTCTGTTTGTTGTCCTTCCTGCGGTACGCGGTCCATCACCAGACTGAACGTGACCCAGCTGCAGCAGGTCGAGGACAACCGCGCGTTCATCGAGGAGTTGGACGCGAACCCCGACCTGCTGTACAGCAGCGAGTACCAGCGGGAGGTGGTCACCCTGACCAGGAAGCAGGAGTACGAGATCCTGCGCAACTTCCCAGAGGTCTTCCTGACAGAGCAGGCGTACATGGAGTCCAAGCAAGGCCTGGGCACGATCACCACGCCGAACACGACTGTCACCCGTAGGCGCCGGGCGGCCTCGGAGCCAGAGAGGGTCTGCCCGCCCTATAGCGATACGGAACCGGTCATTCTAGTGCGGAAAGCCGGCGGACAGGTGGTCCAGTTATCAAACGTAAGGTTTCTTTTTCCTTTTTGTAAGACATCTGGAACGGTTGATCGGTTACAGTTCTGTTGATAATTTGCCAGATCATTTAGAGCCGGAAACCTCGGGAAAAGTTTCATTTTGACCCGGAAAGAGTCAACTTCGAACCCGAAATTGTCAATTTTGAATACAAAAAGTGTTATTTTGATCATGAAAGGTGTCATTTTGACCTGCAACGGTGTTATTTTGTGACCCTGAAATGTGTCATTTTTGACCTTGAAAGGTGTCATTGTTTACACTGAAAGGTGCCATCTTTGACCCTGAAAAATCAAATTTCTCACCCTGAAAGATGTCATTGTGTACCCTGAAAGGTGTCATTTATGACCCTGAAAGGTGTCATAATTTATTTGACCCTCAAAAGTATTAGGCCGAATGGGACCCAGATTTTGGGGTCAAATGTGGCTATGGTTATAATTTAAAACTAGAAATGTGTTTGTGGACAAACACTGAGCTGTTTCGACCGTTTTATTAATGACTGCCGTAAAGGAGTTTCATCCAGGTCGAATGAACATGTACATGCGTATTCTATACAAAAAAAGTGTCTATCCTACGTCCCTGACTATGCATGAACATGAAATCTGTCAAAGTTAGCCGGAAATCGGCTAAAACGGTCACTGTGGACAGGATAGACCTCAGCAACACGTGCGCTGCGCGCGGGCTGACTGACATACGATATGTACAACGTACGTGCATGTACATGTACATTGTGGACTGTGCATGTTTTAAAGCAGAGTTATTGTCAACCTGAAGTTTTAAGCGTGCGCAGGGCATGTCCGAGTTTGCTTATTGCCTTGAAGCTTTGAAATATTTTAGACCTACCCTTAAATAGACATTTAAAGTAAAAACTAATATAAAAACTGCCATGGTTGATTTTTCAGGAATTTTTTAAGGAAAAAGGGTCTTGGAGGTATTGACAAAATTACTTTTTTGCTTCTATTCCTCAGACAGGAAGCAAGAACCAGTGGATATTTGCGGAGACCTGTGACCAGAGCACACCTCCTCCATCGGGCCAGAAGTGTGGCTTGATTGAGCGACACGTCCCGGCCCTTTTCATCAACCTCAGTGGAATCCTGGATACCGGAGGCTCAAGCGATGACTTCGACTTCGCCCAAGTGATCATCCAGTGCTGCGTCACAATTAGATCTTAGTCTTGGTTTCAGGCGTTTGATCTTCATTACAGGGCGTTGGTATGGAACGCCTAAGCTGCCTTCACTGTATGCCTTATAATATTTTTGACACGCTCGTCATTCTATTCGACAATGCCATCACTCCATTCGGCGAATTCGTCATTCCGTTCGGCAAAATCGTCCGTTATTTGCCGAACGGAACGATGCATTGGCCAAATGGAATGATGACGATATCGTCAATTTCATGAACGAAATCGATCATTATAGATCCAATATATAACCAATATATAACTGATGGAAATTCTCTTTTAACCTAAGATTATTTATGCTTATTTTGTCAAGTTAGAATGTGTTTTGGCGGTGTTGACGACACTGTGTGTTGACTGTATGTTGACGGTTATTAGTACAGGGTGAGTCAAACAAGCGGTACCCAAACCCCCAATAAATATATTTCATATTTAAAAACATAATGTAGTACTATATATAATAATGAATAGAAAGCCAATTTCATTAGCTACTTTTAGATGAAACTGAAATTGCTCAATCCATTTAAAGAAAATCTGATTAAAACGCAATAACCTGTTTCGTCCACAAATCAATTTACGGTGTGGTTTGACTGTTTAGAACGACAAAGAAAATTACACAGAATACGTGTTTCAACAACTGTCAACAACTGTAGAACACAATATCTTTATTATCAACCCTGGTTAAGCAATCAATATGGTTTATAAAATCCACAAATTGTAAAAGACGGGCCTTCAAAACTTTTTAAAATATTTAATCAACTTTTTAACTGAGATTTATCAATGGTGATGTTTGAAGACAATAATATATTGTGACGACAAATCTTGAAATCGCAGTTTTGGACAAGACAGGTTTTATGGTCATTGTGTTGAAATGGTGATATCCTGTGAACGGATTAAGCAATTTCAGTATTTTTTCATCTAAAAGTAGCTTATGAAATTGGCTTTTCAGTCATTTTTATTTTTGGTGCTCCATTTTTTTTAAATATGAAATATGGTTTTTGGTGTTTGGGTTCCGCTTTTTTTTTTTACTCACCCTACCCTGTACGAGGCGGCCACCTGCACCCATGCACCGCATTGTTACCTGAGCTGTCATGCGTGTATGGAGGAAATCGGGCTACATGAAAAGGTTCTTTGAATATTTTTTGAATGAAAATAAACGAATGTACTCAGAAATGACATTTTGTCAGCTAGTGTTGCGCAAGAAGCGAGTAGCTGGGGAAAACCGTGAGGCCATGTTCTAAATTGATATCATGCTAGGTTTTTGTTGGTTTGTTTGTCTGTTGGGATTGTTTGTTTGTTGTCTGCTTCCGTGGAGGGAGGGGGTCCCCAACTCATATAAGGAAAATATGTTATTCAGCTACAGAGTCGGATTATGTCGCAATCGAGGAGGAAATACCGTGGATATGGGATTAGGCATATTTAAACCCTCGAACAATAGGACCTGTATAGCTCTTTGTTCTGTAGGGTTCTTCTGCACAAATTGCACAACATTCAATCTGGGAAATCCATTAGTAAACCGGGTTCAGTTAGGTTTAAATGTGATTTTTACATCATGGAATTTCCCTTCGGGCCACTGCACCCCACTGCGCTCTGATATTTTCTATAAAAGATCGAGCTCGGTTCATAATCAGAGCATTAGACTGACAAGTTTGATCACGCACTGAAGAAATTCAAAGACGTGTACATCTTCCAAGAGCTACGGGAACTGCTTTGGCAAAAAAAGATGAAAATCAAGTTCAAAGATCGTATGACTAACCTAGCGCTACTTTGGTCCATTCTGCTATTGGTAGCAAAGAGTTTGGGTCAGGCTGGTGGCTCGCAAGTGCGGCTACTGCGACCGACTTTCCGCCCTCTGTCACTGCCTGTGCTGCCTTGCTCGATTTCCCTGGAGAGTAGTCAGATTGCGCAGGTCAGAGCCGAAAGTGATTTTATCCAGTCCATCCAGAGCAATCCCGATCTGCTGCACAGCGAAGTCTCCCAACGGCCGGTGGTGACCCTGACACAGGGGCAGGAGCGCCAGTTGCTCCAGCGCTACCCTCAGCTGTTCAAGCAGCAGGCCGTCACTCTGCCGGTCATTTCGCCGGTCATTCCGCCGGTCATCGCCCGGCATCGGAGAGATCTCCCTGGCAGGGTCTGCGCGCCACGGCAAGGATCGCAACCGCTCATCTTGGCACGCCAGGCCAACGGCCAAGTCGTTCAACTGGCACAGGTAAAAAAAAATTCCATAATTCGTCTCATTAATAATAACCACAGTGGTGCTAACTCTTTACACCACGCGGTTGCAAAGCATTATTCTGTTCATCAGGTCATGAAACGGTTTTCTGTCCATAGTAGTTAGAGAGCAGTGTAACCCGGTCTCAACCCCGGCCATTGTAGTAAAGTGTCTTGCCCAAGAACACCATGGCACACGAATAGAACACGGTTATCATAGGACGGCACTCATCAATAATCATCAGCGACTTATTAAGGTTTGGGGGCAGGGGAAAGGATGGGGATGGTTGATTTAATTTTGCAAAAAAAAAAGTGTTTGCTGTCGTCCGCAAAAATTGTTAAAAGCAGGAAGGGGTATTACATGCTTGAACTCGTTGTGGAGGTGCTGTGGCTTTCTATATGGTAAGGCCATTACATGTGGGGTAATCCATGGATTACCCTATAACTGGCTAAATCCGGCCCACTGTGTAATACTATGTCAGATGCATGAAAAAGGTTTCCAGTGAATGTCGTTCAGAATCAATAATTGAATACTGACGAATTTTAAATCAGCAGTGAAACCGAGGGCATCGGTGCTGCATTTTGTTATGAGGATTAAAACAGAAAAGATCCTCAGTGTCATGCTGTGGCCTTGCACCGTGAGCCTCGGTTTAAAGTCCAAAATCGGCAGTAAAACCGAGGGCCCCAGTCCTGTCTTTGTTTGGAGGATTAAAACATGAAAAGGTCCTCATTGTCATAAAGTGGCCTTGCAACGTGAGCCTCGGTTTCAAGTCCAAATCAGTAGTGAACCCGAGGGCCTCAGTCCTGTCGTTTGAATTCGGGTCTGAAACCGAGGGCGTTTAGTCCTGTCTCCTGTTATATGAGGATTAAAACAGAAAAGGTCCTCGGTGGCATGAAGTGATGTAGCTCCAAGAGCCTCGGTTTCAACTCCAATTATACTTTCCTGTGTTGGAACCAGAATTACAATGCTTTTTCTTTTCTTCTTTTTTCCCCCCAGCTGACAAATAGCAATCAGTGGATCATGGAAGAGACGTGTTCCGCCGTGAGCGACGGTGGTATGAACTGCGACCTGGCAGAGCGCGAGATACCGGCGCTTTTCATCAACCTCAGCGGCATCCTCGCAAACGGAGGCACCAACGCAGATTTCGACATGGCCTACGTTGTCGTTCACTGCTGTGTTGCGGTTTCGTCGTGAGAGCGCTAACTCATATTTTATTTTCAGGCTGGTTCCAGCCGGGAATTAAGCCTACGGTCTTCTTTGCACCACTTTCATGAACTGATAGATCCACTTTTGAATTATATTTGCTTGAGCTTCACCTTTCGCCCCCTCCCCCACCAAAAAACAAAAACAAAATCATATTTTGACACCTTAGACCAAAATGGTCCAGGACCAACCTTACTGTAGGCTTTTTTTTTTTCGTAAAATTTTCTGCTGACAACTTCTCCAAAAGTGCACAAGCACTGTAGCTCTCAAGCCTGGAGACACCTGCATAGAGACAAGACTCAAGAAATGTTCAGATTTAGAGGTTGGAGGAAAGCCCCACAAAATAATCCAGGGAAAGCCCACAGAATCAGATAGGGATTGAAAAACAAAAGCACAATCTGCATCGTGCAGCAGGGCGGAGATTTTCAGGCCAATGCTCAGGTTTTGAATGGGGTAGCCTATTTTTGAACACAGACACGTCATTGAGAAATAGGACTGACATTTGCGAACAGGTTGTATGTTCTACTTGCTATTCTGTTATGGTTCAGAAAGGCAGATCGAGAAGTATTCTAAGAAGATAACTGAAGAGATTAAGAAGATAATAAGCCCCGTCGTACTTTGTTTAGCCTACGTGTGTGCTTTCCTATGGTGCTCAGCGGACGGTGGACGTACCCCCACTGGCTCCATAGGAAAGTGCACGTGTAAACCGTGTGACGTCATTTTAGTACAGAGGCTTATTCAGGCCTAACTCGTTACACCAATGTTATGAGATGAGTTAACGTTTTAATGTTATTATTGCCGTTGTTTTTTTTCATGCATATTCTTGTTTGATTTACTGCCATGAAGTAGACTTCAAACTGCAACTGAAATAACTAAAGAAACCTTACTCGTAACTGATTATGAGAAGAATAGTTGACGCTTTGATATTATTATTGCAGTTTTTTCTTTTATATTATTTTTGTTTAATATTGCCATTCCTAATGAGACTTCAAACTACAACTGAAATAAAAATTTGTTTTTAAGAATTCCTGTCGAACAAATGTGTTACCTCGTTGGCCTCTTCCCTGTCAGCGATTTTTTCCCCGTACCACTAATTCGCTATGTGCGTATACTACTGCAACACTTTGATTTGCAAGTCTGGTTCCCGGACTTTATTTCTCTTGAAAAAAATCCTCCGAACCACAAATTGGTTAAATGAAAAAAAAAAATTCAACGGGAATTGATCTCACACCAACGGATTATAAATCAGTGCAGTATCCACGACACTACACCAACGATGTTCAGCGAAATGAACGGATATGCTCGTGGGCGGGGAGGGGAAATGACAACTTATTCCCGACGGTGGAAGGTAGCCATACGATTCCCCCCCCCCCCGGCATCAGGCCTGACTAATGGGGGCGCTGTTCACAGTGATGGGAATGTGAGGGGGGGGGGAGCTGTGGCGGGGAGCGATTTTTTTGTTAACCATTACCACATAATTCGCTAGAATTATGCTGGACTGCACAATTACGAGGGAGATTTTGGTGAACGTTTCCTAGGTTGAGATTCCTCAGACATCCCATAATAAAAAATCCTACGGTGTCTGTCTGTCTGTCCGTCTGTCTTGCTATCTGTCTTGCCGTCTTGCGTCAAATGTTATGGCAGCAGCATCGCAGACACTTTGCTGTTTTAGTTGTATTGTACATTAAGAGTTGCAAAACGATTTTATAGAAGTATTCTAAAATGATCTTGCATTAAAAAATAAGTTTGATCTGTAAGTCGTTTATGACAACAGAAACAAATATTTTGCATTTACAACTCTGTTTTCGAGTTTCCAACCAGTTAAATGTAAACGTACCGTCAGGCTGTCAGGCTCAAAAGGTAACGGTTAGTGATAATCCTTGCTTACATTTCCCATACAGTTTTGCGACACATAACGCAATGAAACTGACAAAAGTTTGAGGGTTGTCATGCATACAATAATACAGTGCTTTCACTACCTCGATCAGGGGGAGCCCCAAGTTTCCACCAGAATATTTGTCCTCCATTGTCACCGATATCATAATTTTCAATCGCGTCACTGTTCAGTACACCACTGACCTCTGTATACTAACTGGACTGGCTGACGGTGCCCACGCATTGAAGCCACCGCTGCCATCTGGGCTCATGCGCAGTAAACGCACTTTGTTTACAGAGTAGTTGGTATCAGTGGAGTTTTTCTTCTTCAGAGCTAGAGTTAAGCCGGCGAAAATAAGACTTGTTAATAGTTCAAAAATCTTAACCGCAGATCAATGTACCCGTACATCTTAGGCCTAGAGCGATATTTTGGGGTAACAAGATGGCGGATTTGGTGGCATCGTCAAGGTGCATTATGTAAAATCAGTATGTAGTCCAGTAGTATAGAGGTCAGTGGTTATAGCTTCAATTTTTTAAAGATATTTTATACCGGTACTCGGTGGTTGCCGTATGTACATTTCCTGGGTAGGAGGAGCCTCCAAATTCCATTTTACAAAGGGGGTATTGAAACGGTGATTTCGTTTCCGATTCGGCCTTAGCTCTGACCTTAGATTACTAATTCTTCAAGCTTTCAGTGTACAAACCAAGTGGAAATGCTGTTATCTTTGACTTCAGGATTAGATGTACTTGATCACTACTCCCAGAGTCGAGACCACAAATAAACCGAGGTTTCGAAACACCAAATATGAAAAAAAACGGACATGACTAAGCCTTGATTTACGTTGGCTAATAAAAGGTATGTCGAGCTTTTCACTTTGTTCGGCCGGGTAAAAAATGCTCTTCCAATATGGATTCACGTCACTTGAAAGCTCAGGTCACGATTGGGTTCTTTTTAAAGAAACCTGTACAAGTGTTGTGCATTGTTGTAAGCTTTATCGTCCTTTTGCTGGCGGTCTACATTGTGTAAACGTCTGACCGAACTTTATCATGGATATGCAAATTGGGTTATAGGCTATCGGTAACGCCCAAAACGGATTGACGCTGTGGTTTCACCATACAGACACGCAAAAACAACCGTTGCGCATTTAAAAGTGACTAGCCTATACACTTCAAAATCACTACTGGAAAATAAACCTTGATTCAAGGAATTCCGCGCACACCTACCTATCCACGATGAATCTGTATAATCGGCAACAACGTGCGTTTCTGACTGCATCACTCTTTCTGGCTGTTGGTATCGGTTCTATGGTAGCCGAGGGACGTTCGGAGTGCTGCCCAACGTGTTCAGCGACATCCGTCACTCCTCTGAACCAGAGTCAAGTCCAACAAGTCATGGACAACAGAGACTTCATTCTTAATCTCCGGCAGAACCCGCATCTGCTTTACAACGACTCCTACCAGCGTCCCATTGTGAAGCTGACTCGGCAGCAGGAGCTCCAGATCTTGAGAAATTACCCCGATTTGTTGGTGAGCCGGGAGACTTTCGAGCAAGCAGGGGAACTCGACTGCACTCCGTCGAGCTTCGTCGGCATTCGGTGCTCTGTTTGCCCACCCGGATGTGTCCCTAATGTACAAAGGAATAGTCCTACTTCAAGTACTTGCGTGCCCGAATCCACACCAGCTGGACGACGCCGCCGTCGGCAAACGTCTCCCAGGATATGTATGGCGAAGCAAAGCACCGAGCCCTTCATTCTCGTAAACACGCCCTCTGGTCACGTGGTCCAATTGGCGCAGGTAGGCCGCTATTCAAAATATTGCTTATGATTGCATATGACGCAGTATTTAACGAGAGTGCGAAATAATGGGTTTCTGACACACACATAGTACACAGGCATAGAAGTGGGGTACTCCCTTTGTTCTCGTGTACTAAATTTTGCAATGTCGCGCACTAATTTAAAAATGCTCTCATTTGAACCAGAATTAATTTCCTGGGCTGAAATTCGGACTTAATATCCCTTTTCTAAAACTCTTCCATTTGCGACAAATCACCCCACCTTGGAAATTCCTAGTTTTTGAGTAAAATCCATATATCTATTTTGTAATAAAAACTTGTGGGGTACCAATTTAGTTCCCCACAAGGTCACAAAATGGCCTTGTGGGGTACCTGCCATTGTTCCGGTACCTCATAAGGCAGTGGGTACACACGCACGCAACCCCCCCCCCCCCCCCAAAAAAAAAAAAAAAAAAAAATTAAAAGCGGTGCCACTCTCTCTTTACCACTACATAGACCGGGGACAAGAACCAGTGGATCTTAAAGGAAACCTGCCAGAAAGCTATGGATCAAGGCTTTTCATGCGGTCTGGACGACGAGGGTACTGATATCCCAGCATTGTTCATCAACCTCAGCAATATCATTCTCACGGGCGGCTCCTCCAGCGATTTCGACATGGCCTACGTTACCGTGCGTTGCTGCGTTGCAATGTCAGGATGAGCTATGTGATGATGAATGGGGGACTGGATGTTATAAAGCGAGGGGGGGGGGACTTAAATCCGCTAACCATGGTCACGAATATGACAAAAATGTAATTTTCAAAGGGGAGGGGCAACTTGGGGCCAGGGGAGGGGGTGCCCCTGGCTTCGCCTCTGTGTTGTATACATTATACAAGGTAAACACATACACTCATGGATGCACCTTCAATGGCAAAAAGCATTGTATCAGCTGATTGTTCCGATGCTATCCGTCATGGGCAATAAACAATTGCTTTGTATACAACAGCTGCAGTGCTTTCGCCATTGAAGGGGCCTCCTCTATAAGCATGTATAGTCACGGAATGGTGTACATGTACGTATATCACTCACTAATGATTAAAGAGGTTGTGGAATGCTCGAAGACATTCCCGTCATTTTTCGGGTACATGTAGCCTAATGGTGTAATGATATAAACACGACTATTGTGTCTGTCATGAAATGAGTACAAAAGGTAATTTTGAGAGCTGTTTTTTAGGTCCTGTTTCGACCCGAACGTGCAATTTGTGTAAAAGTCGTCGCTGGGGGCAGGGAACAAAACATAGTAAATCGTGACGTCATAAACAGGACTCGTTTATACTACGCTGCATGTGGTGGTATCACCGCGACGCTCGCAAGCAGGTGGTACGCGCGCACTCGGTGCTCCTTTGACCAATGGGGTTTCAAAGTTACACGCGCGCTTTTGGCATCACGCGCGTTTACAATGAGCAGGTGGTATACGCGCGCACTGGGTGCTCCTTTGACCATGCCAATGGGGTTTTCAAGCCACTCGCGCGCGTCTTATGAACGCTTGTGGCATGCGCGCAAGTGAGCGTGGTGCATTGTGCCATTTCAGCAATGGCGGTCACCATTCCAGTAGTATTCACAAGTCATATGCAGTTGAGGACTCGACAAAAAAAACGACTCGAAAACATTAACAACACAAAGATGTCAGAGTGGAGAATTTATGGTTAAGGAAGTCAACGACGGTGAAGAGGAAACGATGATGGGCAAGTATGGGAACAGACGTTGGGATAAAAATGAAGAGAAAATATAGTTGAACTAGGAAAACAAGACATGAACATGATTAGGCCTAGCCCCATAAATGTGGCCAATTTACTGGACTACCTCCGTAAATAAAGGCCACACTTCCACCATGTACAAAAACATGTCGAACTTTGTCAAATTTTGATTTTCACATTTAGGCTTACTCACCCTCTTCATAGGCTAATCAGAAAGTGCTGCCTTTTTTCAGATGTCTATTTTTTGTGAAATTTCCAGATTCGTTTGCACACGTTTCCGTATCAAGAACACGCATACACAACATTAAAATACATGTACCCACTTTTTCATTATTTCAAACTTTATATGTACTCTCCTATATACAGTTTAATAATTATAAACCTTTTTACTGTGTAGTATATTTAATACTCAGAGCAAACATTTTCAAGTTGTCAATTTGCATCTATCTACAATTTGATGTTTAATATGTACGGTTCGGTGTGCGTAATCATTTATACATTTTACGTAATACTCAGACGTTCAGTTCAGTTCTAAATGTCACAAGAAGTTTACTTTGCGAACTGAAAACTGAGTTCTTTTTAAATACATGGTTAATTTACTAATGCTTTAATTTTCCGTTAGCTCTCGTTGAAACAAGCTATCACAAAACAAATCTGATTAAATCCTGTGGACACGACAGTGCATTTTATTATGAGCACAATGGAAGGGACCGACGCTGCTCTTAAATTCTAATAAATGTACATGTTTTTGCCTAGGTTTAGCTGACTTGGTATTAACGGGAGTCCACTGGGCATAATATAGCAACTTTAATGACACAGGTGAACATTTTCAGGGTACATCCAACCATTATTTGTCAATTTAACAATGTAAAGAAATAATGTAGTGTCCAGACGCCACTTCTTTGGTTGCGTACAAAGTCAATAGAGAGTTGCATGCATTTTCAAAGTATTTTCTACCAAAATTGGAAATGTTTCTCAGTACCAGATTCATGTCTTCTCAACACGTTTGCAATCCCACTGAGATAATACATGATGAAAAAAGTGGCGTCAGGATGCAACATTCTTTTACCAATGGAATATGTAGTCATCATTCCGACAAATTTGTGTTCTTTTATTTTAACGAATTGTATGTGAGTCAGACTTTTTTTTTAATAAATAAATTGGTGAAATGCAACGAGTGCCACTTTTCCATATTTCTATTCTTTCAACACTGTTCACGAAACACACTACACAAACTCATCTAAAAGTTTGAAATTTAATAAATACATGTACACAAACATATTTTACAGAAATTTTGAAGGACCACCCACTTGGGTTTTGAACCTTCAAGCTATGGTATACTATACAAGGTCCACTTCCGCATTATGGTAAACTTACCAGCACAACCACCGGCCAAAGTGTCCATATGTCCATTGAAGCCACCTGTCCACCTGTCTTTAGTGGCCACCATCGTTGTTACCACCTTTCCGAACAGTGGCCACTTGTCCATTGTGGCCACCTGTCCGTAGAAGCCACCTGCTGATTGAAGCCACATGTCCATGGAAGCCGCCTGTCCTTTGTGGCCACCTGTCTCTTCTGGCCACTAAGGCCACCTGTTGAAAGTGGCCACTGTCTCTTCTGGCCACCTGTCCATAGCAGCCACCTGCCTATTTTGGCCACCTGTCCATAGTAGCCACCTGGCTATAGCGGCCACCTGCCTATCGTGGCCACCTGCTCATAGCATCCATCAGTCCATTGTGGTCACCTACCTATTCTAGCCACCTGTCTATAGTAGCCACTGTCCATAGCGGCCACTGTCCATGGCATCCACCAGTCCATTGTGGCCACATGCCTACTACGACCAACCAATACTTAAAACAGATTTGGAAATACACGCATCCTAACAAACAAGGTTTCACTAATTCCTCCAGACGGAGAAAGATGGGTCCTGAGATTGCGCTTGTGTCTTTCCATCCGTAGTTGGTGGCTTTTCGTCCGCTAACACATCTCCCCCTAATGCTGCGAACATTTGAGATGCTGTTGGAAAACCAAAACAAAACTGATCACAAAGCCCAAAAGACCACACACAAAAAAAACCATCAGAATTAAATTCAGCGCACTGCTATTGGGTTTGAGCTTTTTCAGGTTTTGTACCAAAATATATATAAACTCAACATTTTAGCCAATTTCAGTTAATAATACTTACAGTCATTTGGATTTTTCTTGGCTTTGACAAATGGATCTGGCCTGATAGCATAGGCTGACCCAGGCCTTGACAATGATGCCTGAAAAACAAGATGGAAATAAATTTTGAAATCATTCGTTCTAATTCCTATGTTTTCAAATCATGCAAACCACCCAATTTTGCACGAGAAGGAAACAAGATAACAGCTAAAAAGCAGTTCTGTATTCTTTGTCTGGCACTCAATTGTCCAAAAAATCAGGAATCTTTTATTGTCCCCTTAACCCACAATAACAAAAATATGAGCAAAAACCTTGGACGATTTTTATTATTCACAGAACAGAAATAACTATTTCCCGATAACAGCATTTTTTTGCAACACAGTCTGCAACTTTCATTAAAAAAAATATCTAAATCCAAAAGATTCTGTGGTGCATAGCGCTTTTATGCCTAAGGTTTCAAAGCGCTTCACAATTGTTATCCCTGTTCATCAGGAATAAGACCATTTTTTTCTGCAGCAGCTCGAGATCTGCCCAATATGGTCTCTGCCTTCACAGGTACCCATTTATACCCCTAGGTGGAGAGAGGCAATTGTAGTAAAGTGTCTTTCCCAAGAACAAAAGCATCACGTTCCCCGCCAACCCATGAACCCATGAACCACATTCGAATGCCGTAACCATTGGAGCACAGAACCACTTCAAAGGTGCATTTTAAATGCAGAAACCTTGGGACAAACAGAACAACAGGTATACATACAAATTTCCATTGACAAAAGCAGTGCATTTCAACAAATAATAAGGCCTTGAACTTTTTAACATACATTGAGGCACTCTTGTGGCTCAGGAATGCAATGTAAATATATTTAATCTTTTCCTGGTAAAATAAACTCGCACGTAGGGAAATGACAGATACTCAAATTATCAGAAAATGCGGGAAAATGCCAAGAACTCTCCACTTTCTTCAACATACACCTCAATTTGAACCTTGATTTAACCATTTAACTTTTTTTACGTTCTGTTCATAGTTCTGACCAGGAAAAATAATTCTAACAACTGTTTTCAATGAACACATTTTTAGGTTCACAGTCTTATCAGAAAACCCCCTAAAACGAACAGTGTGTTAGAAGAAATGGCAACACAGCAACAGCGCCCTCATTTGTCTTGAAAAGCATGGACAATTGTTAAATGTTTAAAGAAGTGCACTTTTCAATGAAATTATCCAAAAAGGAATGCCAAATAGTTTTCATACATGTATAGGTGAGAAGAACGTTGCAAAAAATGCGTTCATCAGACTAAATCATCCCAGGAAGCCTTTAAATAAATCAAGTTTGAGCCATTTTCCCAATTTTTCCTGATTTCAAAATGTTGGTACGAAGGAGACGTAAAGAGTCAAATTAACAACACTTTCATGCAAAATCTAATATTAGAATTTGGGAAACTGAAGTCCGTCGTAACAATTTTAAAATCGGAAGGGAAAAAATGACGAGTATAAACGGACTCACCATACGCATCCCGCCTGGCATCATGGATGAAGGTGAAGGGGTGTTTCTTGATGCTGAAGGGGGCGCTGTTACCTGTTCAAGTCAAAGGTAAAAGGTTACGGCTACTAGATGAAATTTCAATGACCTCTCCGGAAAAATCTCGAGCCAACCCTCTGCTTTTACATTGTTTGTTTTAACATTTTGAAACGACCAATGATTTAAAGGTACAGTCCATCATTTGCAGCTTTCCAAAAAGTAACTGAAGTATACCTGGTTTAAAGATATTAATAGGATTAAACTCCCTGTGAAAGAATTCTTTCCGACATCTCCAGACTGTCATTTTGAAGAAAACAATGAAAGAAGGCCATTTCTAAAGACGCATTTTTTTCAGAGATATTCCATTAGTAGTTCGCTTTTAATTCGGTGAAGCCGTGAATGAGTACGCGTAAGCGTTGACTTGACGCGAGATCAGGTCATCGCTAGTGACATCGCGTAGCTGCAATAGGCTGAATGCGCGGCATCGCGTAGCTGCAATAGGCCGAATGAGAACAATGTTCTGGACGCGATTCAAATCATGACTCGCCAACTTTTGATTTGAAATCAAGATCCTAGAATATTGTTTTCTCAGAATAAACATGCATTCACTGAGCTGAAACTTCATCAGGTTAGTTGTTGAGCACCCTTCTTTAGACTTTGAGCACTTTCGTTGCTTCAAATTAATATAATGTATCAATTACAAATGATGTACTCTACCTTTAATACAATATTCCACGTATTAATACATATTAATACAAATGTGCTTTTCATATATTTTAAGCACCAAAATTAAGATCGTCAGACCACAAAACAACTGACCGAACACTTAAATAAGCTTGATTTCTTTAAGGTTGGCCACTACCAGTCAACCCTTCAGATGCTAGATGGGCTATACCTTTTTGATGATTCCCTTTTCTATGAGGTCTATTTTCGACGTCCGTTTGCAGCCTAGGACGGCAAAGTGGGACCAGATCTTATCAGACGCTGACGCAAAGTCTTTGGCTGACCTGTAAAATAAAAATGTGGACAGGTTTGAGAGTTATTAGCCAAGAACAGTCACTCTGACAACACTGAATTCTACTGTAAAGTCTGTCACGAGCCAATGTGGCCCATTAGGCCGGCGCTTATCTCCAGTTTCACTTGCATGAAACGACTGAGAACGTGTCGCTTCACCCTGAATGGGATGCTAGTCTATCGCAGGTTACTCCCCAGCTAACACCGATACCAATTTGTACTCCTGGTGGAGAGAGGCAAGTGGGGTGAAGTGTCTTGCCCAAGGACACAACAAATGACCAACAGCTGGATTCAAACCCCAGACCCTCTGATCATGAGTCACAAACCCTAACCACTAGGCCACACTCCCCTACTAGACTTTGTCATTTGGCACATGGAACATAGAACATTCCTTTTCTACTAGAACTTTCCTTCAAGCATCAGGAACATTTTCTAGCACCTGGAATGGTCCTCCCAGACACGGAACTTTCCTTGTAACGCCTAGAACTTTCTCTGGTTCCATGGAACTTTTCCCTGGTGTTTGCACTTTCATTTTGGCACCTGGAACTTGGCATTTTCTTTCTGGGCTTCTCGGATAGGTAATAAAACTAACCTTCCTTCCTTGTCTGGGATTTCTGGCTTGGCACCATTCTCCAGAAGAATCATTATGATCTGTAAAAAGAAAATCTTGGATGTTTATGGGTGTCATCGATGAGCATCCGCTCCCTAGAAAGAGTACCCTCAATCCCCCCGCATGGATGTGTGGCCAAAACAGGAGAAATGAAGGCGAGCAGAATGAGTAAAAAATTGCGGACAACAATGAATCAGAGGATGAAACAAGTACCAAGTGGTACAACCCACGGCGGTCGGGTAGCAGCGAGGCCGGGTAACGTGTAAAGACGGCTATACGGTACCGTCCGTGCACCCGGTACCTCGAGAGTAAAGAAAACGAAAAGGAATGGGGCGTGATCTAATATGCAAAAAGTATGCAAATTAGACGCATGCGCAACAGTGCAAACAGTGCAACAGTGCAAAACTGGTCCTCAAATGCAAAGCTGTGATACTTGCAAAGCTGTGATACTTGAAAAGCTGTAATACTTGAGTTGTAAGAATACAATATATGGCCAGGTAAAGTGTCCACCAACCAACCAACCAACCAACCAACCAACCAACCAACCAACCAACCAACCAACCAACCAACATAAGCAGATAAAGCCCACGGCGTGTTCCACACTGCCGTGGGGAAAAGGAAGACACTTTGTCAACTACTAACCTTTCCGTGTTCTTGGAATGCAGCTGCGTGCAGCGGAGTCCACAAGGTGTCTTTGTTCTGATAGTTGACATCCGCGCCAGCTTGGATGAGCGTTTTGATCACATCGTGAAACCCCCAGAAAGCAGCTTAACAAATAACATCAAAGAAAAATGTCTTCAGACCACAATTCTGATCCGAACGCTCTCTGATTTTTGAAAGCTAGTAATAAGTCAAGAGTACTAATACAAAACAATCTAGAATTTAATATGCAGTACTAGTTGAAACAACAGTTTCCTAAACACTGCATCAACAATGAAAGGAGTACTTAAACACGTTTAAGCTGATAAGTTTAAACTTACCGATGTAAAGTTGGCTTTGACGAATATTTTCCGAGTCCCCATGGACTTCAACACTCTCTGACAGGAATTTCTCTACCAGCTGTGGGTGAAAAAAGTAGTGATGAGTGCAACAGTGCAGTGTATTATTTTCTACCCCCTCCTGATGACAACCCCCTCGCCCGCCCACTTAAATATGCCACTGCAAGTGCAAGCTTGGCAGGTGTATACAAATGATAATGTGCTGCAGCTAAATATTTTGTAGAGGCGATTTTCAACTGCTATCATCTGATTTTTTTTTTTTAATTGTGAATCTACTAAAGTACTATATAGGCCTATCACATTGTTGTTTGTTTGGTTTAATAATGTTGGACTAGCACGCAGAAATGAGAAGGTTCTAGGACGGCATCTGAGATTTTAAATTTTTTTTGGGCCTAATTTTATGGTAATTTTTATTAATCAAGTTCTTTTTCTCATTAAAAGTAATGTTAGAATAGATTTCATCTTTTTACTCCTTAACAAATCTTGGCTTTGCAATTGCCTTTTGATGATTTTTTTTAAAGGCAAAATTAAATTTAAGTCCCTGAGCCGAGGCGAGAACCATTCCGAATTCGGTTGTAAAATTGAGACTCTGAGAGAGGTCTGCTGTAGCCTGTAGGTTGAAAAGGTCATTTTTGAATGATAAAACAACACCCTTGACTCTTGATCGACACTATAAAAGAGGGGCCCGTAACTACACGATCGCCGCAATCATTGCAAAAGAAATGCAATGAATGGCAAACCGGCAATGCTAACCATGGCCATGCCAACGCACGACAGATGTTGGCACTTCAAAAACATGAAAAATTAACACAATCTTCGGAAGATCTTCTAAACCTAGGTCTCCTTACCGTTTCATTGCCTTTCTGTGCAAGTGTTGACATCTCGGGCACGCTGATTTTCGCCACAGCCAGCTGTTTTTGCAGGTCTTGCATGACAGATTCATTGCTATTGGCGACGGCGTCACCGGGGGTCGCCATCTTGAATTTTGCGCTGCTAATGGAATTTTTAGAGGTGCGCCCTCTGTTGAAGAGAATCCGGCTTGTGAAGCGCACTATAGCCTAGTCGTGCTTATTTTTAGAACAAGCCCCTTTTTTCACCCCCACCCACTCAAATAACATAAAAATACAGAAAAACCCGATAAAAATGTTAAAAACACCAACTTTTTGAAAATGGATTCCGAACAATGTCTGAAAGAGTTCAATAATTTACCCTAAGGCTGATGTTATGGGGAAAAAAAATAAAATTTCGGTACCGCTAACATTGAAGCCCGCCCCCACCGATATGACAACGCGGGTACTACATGTGCATGAACATTTTGTATTTGATCACGCACAGCATTGAAATCCCTTACACAAATGGGGGAAAACATCGCCACAACACATTTTCGGTTTATTCATTTAAAAAATGAACAGACTTTTATTGCTCAACTGCACTTTTGCAGATTTCTCTGAAACCATACTTTTATCAGAGATGCCACCAATATAAAGCCTGAAATGCTACTAAAAAACTTGAAACCACCCTTACCCCTTTCGAAAATGTGTTTTCTGGATGTTTCAGCACCAAATCCAGCACTTTTAATTTGTCACATTTTTGAAAAAAACCCCCTGAATTCAGGTTAAAACCTGAAAAGTGGCATCTCTGTGTTTTTTTTTACCTTTAACTCAAATGCCTGCAAACAATCAAATGAATTTTAACAAAGTTATGTAACTAAACCAAACTCAGCATCCTGGTGTAATAGTAAATAAACTTGTATTTTCGTCATGGATACCACCGAAAATGAGGCGCTGTCACCAAAAAAAAGTGGTTTCTTAATAACTTCAAGACCAGAAACATTTTGCCTCATACATCTTGTTCAATGCACTAGTTCAATCAAAAAAACTTAAATGTATAACAATCTATTGAGCACTCAGATGTAATGAAATATATTATTTTCATACTCCCTTTTTTTTTACGAAATCAGGCTGCATTGGTGACTGTGTAATGCCAACATATTATTTACATTAATTAAATATGAATAAATTGTCTCAATTCCATCTGAAATACAACAAAAAAGAAAGAAAAAAGAAGAAGAAAATTGGAACAAAACAGGAAACTGGCACAGCATCACCCAACAATGAGAGGAAGAGTAAAGATTGCATTTTCAGTAGACTGGTTCCTTGACCCCCACTAACTGTAGGAGTTGGCTTTGTGCTTGGGCAGGAACTGGAAGCTATCGGGAACCGGACCGAGCAGCATCTCACTAGAGAGGTAAAAAAAAAGAAGCAGATATTCATGAAATAAAAAAGATGAATTTAAAATAAATTCTTCAATTTAAAAAACGAAATCGTCAATTTAAGACCCTGCTAATGAAAAACATAAATCTTGAATATCATCTACGTCGATGTCTAACACTCCTAAATTCTCTTGTATCACCAACAGAGGGCAGGCTTCACATTGTATGCCCATGACCAAGAACCTGTTATATTCACAAAATGCATTTGAAAATTATAACGATATCATTTCGACGCAAATGTAAATTCAACATCTGGAAAAAATATGCAATTTTCAAATGTACCAAAAAATTTCAGCCTTCAAATACAATGATGGATTTTGTATAATGATCATCAGGGGACCAGTTTAGCTGGTTCCTGTCCTCACCTTATCTTGACCCAGTCAGCACAGTTTGTACTAGACATGAGCGTCTCCAGGTCGTTGCGTCCCATGTAGTACGGCGGCCGCTGCTGAATCTTCTGGGGCAGTCGTTCTAGAATGCCGACCGGGATGTAACGGTGGAGAAACGACAGCCACTCCAGGAGAAAACGGCGCGTCTTCTCAACTCCCTGTCAAGATCAGCCAGAAAAAAAATTTGAAGACAAGACAAAATTATCATTTCAGCTTTGAATGCCAACTGTGATAGAAAAGCACAACAAACTCTGAAGGCAACATTAACAGAATAGTCGCAACTTTACATAACTTCAGAAACCACAAGACACAAATTGAAAAATGTCAGATTTCTCAAACTGTTAATTTTCAACCTTATCACGTCTTTATCAACTAAGAAATGTTATTCTCAAGATAATATCAGCACCATACTGTCCTAGCCAAACACTTATGAATGATATAATTGGTTCATAATCATTCTATTCAATTGTATCCACCAATCAAATTATGGCTTTCATACAATCTCATCACCTATCTGACCAAGCCAGTGTTCCCTCCTGCCATTAGTGCTGTACCCAATTATTCACAACCATCCAACCAATCAAACTGAGCCTTATAAACAATCTTTTGTCAGTGTTCTGTAAACTCAAAATGACAACTGTTGCCTTGTTTATAACAACCAATCACATTAGGTCTTATATACAACCTTACCTCAGTGTCTGAGCCCCAGTGTTCAAGGCCGTAATTGGTGTAATCCCTGAGGATGCCGAGTCTCTCATTGGCTGAAATATCCCAATGTCTACAGAAAAAAAATCAAACAAAGAAAAATGTCGGAAATAATCAAATCTTCTGCCATCATTATCCAACAACTCCAAAAGTAACCTCCATGGAAGCAGGGAGGCTCTTCACAAAATGAATATTTATAACAATCATCCAATTAAATTTGCTTCACCATCTTGAAATCATGCATATTCATTATTACTACCAAATTACATTACATAAATCCTTTTCCAACCATGAATATTCATGACCCACCTCTGTTCTTTGATCTCAGTGAAGACCCACGGTTTGATCAGTGCTCCTCTTGCGATCATAACTCCAGCAGCACCGGAATTCTCTAAGTGGGCTGTCACATCTTCAAACGAGAGGATGTCTCCATTTCCTTAAAAAAAAAACAAAAAAAAAACCAAACACACAGAATATGTTAAATACTATTCAGATTTTTATCACCTATGTATGCAAATGATCCTATGTTATGAAAGGATTAGGAGGCTTTGAAAGTTGTTACATGAAGCATTTACCTATGAGGGGGTGGGGCTTAGCAATCTCAACACACTCCCGGATGTAACTCCAGTCTGCCGTTCTGGTGTAGCGCTGCTCACGACTGCGGCCGTGTAACTACAGAGAAACGGAAGGGGGAAACATCACGTTTATCTTGGTCTCAACTGAACTTTCAAACAGTCTTTGCGCATTATTTGTCAAACCAGCCTGGGCCCCATTTCATAGCGCTGCTAAGCACACAAGTTCTGCTTACCGAGCTTATGTCTATATAATGGAAACCGTAAGCAGTGAGGACAGAAAAGGCACGCTTAATCCCGGAGGAACAACTTTCTTAAATTAGTGACGTCACAACAGAAATCTCCATGTGCACGCAACCGATAGCACATCTATGCCATGAAAGCAGTGTTTAAGGTTAGCACAATTTTCGTCTACTTTTAGCACAACATTTCTGCTTATTGTTAGGCAGTGCTAGGTACCCTACCCTATATGTTGGCATAAATTTCCCCATTTTGTCAATGTATTTGTTTAATGGATGCTAATCAGAAGCATTAAACCTGTATATGCCATATAGCCAGGGATCACGCCTAAGTCGTGATGCTAGCAACATTAGCAATGCTACAAACTTGGGAAAAACAAGCAGGGAATCACTCAGGGATTGTGAATCAGATCAGAGGGTCAGCGGTTCAAATCCAGCTGCTGGTCATATGTTGTGTCCTTGGGCAAGCCACTTCACCCCCACTTGCCTCTCTCCACCCACGAGTAGAAATGGGTACCGGTATTAGCCGGGGATTAACCTGCGATGGACTAGCATCCCATTTTCGGAATAGAAATATTCCTGATTGTTTCATGCCACTGAAATCAGAGATAAATGCTGGCCTGATGGGCCATATTGGCTAATACCAGGCTTTATTTACTACTTTACTCAATTTAATTAAACTTTCTTTGCAGCATACCGTGACAAGGGAAGCCCCCCAGTCATATATCTTTGGAATGAGTTTGTGGGCGATGTTGTGTTTCTCCGATATGCCAGTACGCATCTTCACCGTCACAGGGACATCCAAAACCTGCAGGGAGTAAATCGAACACACAGGAGAAATGACATCAGGAGTACATCGTAACTATGAAAAATGCTTACGTAAAAGGGTAATTCCGTAAAATAATTATATGCGTATGTTCAACCACATGATGTACAAAGTCGTTAAGGTGGTGGTACCTTAGTTTGGTCTGTAATTGTTTTCTACTCATCAGATGTCACATTATTAGTGATGTATCACATCCACTTTTCCAACAGCAGCTCATTATAATGTCTGATATGTACGTCCAAATTTACGGAATTCGCCCAAAAGCAACACACGAACAGACAGCAAAATAAACAAACAGGGGTGTTGACAAATCTGTTCAACAAACGAGAAGATCCCAAATTGTTACTTAACATATTTTTAATTATGTTGTTCTACTTTATTTATCATGTAAACAATGCTCCTAACGATATTTTGAAATGAATATCAGACGCACTTTAGATGCAGATCATGTTTATACTGAAGCAATGTCCATGAAATATTTTTTTACAAGCGATGACATGAGAACAGTTGCAGTTTAAAGCTGCTGTCATGAACAGTTGTTCACATTACAATTTTTTTAATAGGAGTTTTGCGAAATGAAATGACAGGTTGCTAAGTCGTCAAAAATGTTTGGAATGAACTCACTGCATCCATGCCTCGGACAATGTCTTCAAACTTGCCCGCCCTGCTCATCAGCGCACTTCCGCCTCCCTGCAAGATGATAACAAAGGTCACAGGTCAAGTCGCAACTGTAACCCTGCACTCAATGCATTTTGGTCAAGAACTAGCAGAGTCGAGTTACATATAAATGCAATGTACTTTGTTAACCTTATTTTCGTCTTGCCATTTTTAAATGTGATTTGCTGCTTTTTTGGTTGTTATGCTAATTATGCAAATTTCCATGTGTGGTTTTGATACCTTCTGATAAACCAGATCGATTGGGCAGCCTACGTTGAGATCCACAAAATCCACATCGCAGTACGTGTTGATCATCTCGGCACATTTGGTGATGGTGTCTGGAAAGTAGCCAGCAAGCTGGAAAAAATGAGCAGAATAAGACCCGAGCTATCACTTACTCAAATCACTACTTGATGTTCCTGAGCAAGGCACTTTACAGTGATCAAGGCTAAATGTTATAGTGCTGCTGAATTTGAAGTAAATTTGGATCAGTCCATTAATGGATCAGTCCATTAATGGGTCAGTCCATTAATGGATCAGTCCATTAATGGATCAGTCCATTAATGGATCAGTCCATTAACAACAAAATGTTAAATTCTTACCCAAACACCATTACATACAAAAAGTAAAAATTATTACCTGAACCCCAAAACAATCTTCGGAGGAGTGTCTCTTGAGCAGGGCCCATTCGGACGGTTGGCCCTGCAGCAGATTGATAGACATTGCCATCTCGCCACACGTAATGTCCGCACCTAGACGTTTACAGACGCGCCGGAACGGAAGGTTACCAACCTTGAATCAAAGGGGAAAAATGGAACATTAGCCCTCCTTCTCTTTTAACCGTCACAGACAGTCAAAATTTTTTTGTAAATTTCTGATCAGAAATGTTTATCATAAATCTTTCTTCAAATAAATTGTGATTTTCAAAATGTTTCATACTTACCGTTGTCAAGGGCGCCAAGTAGGATTTTCCTTCCACGTTCAACTGCTTCTTCTCACGTTTCCTTATTTTTATGACATCTTGGTCTGTTACCGTGCCTGAGGCTGGTTGCTGTGTTGCCATGGAAACACCGTCTCCGCTTTGACTGGATGATGCCTGTGGAGACTTCAAGGTGTGAGCAGCGACATCTGTTCCCTGATTGGTGGAAGCATCTATCAGGACACTCCCACTTTCTGATACCTGATTCGGATTGGCGGTCTCCTCTTGTTGAATATTCATGTCCCTCTGATTGACTTCATCAGATGTAGAAAGCTTGGTTGGGTCCGAGGACACCGAAATGTCGCCAGCTGCTTTTGGCACAGTATTCAAACTTTTAGAACCATCACTCTGCTTCGAAGGTTTCTTCTTTGTCCCCAACTGGGACAAGAACCTGTCCGCATTTTCAAACTTTTCTTTTTTCTTTCGGAGCCGGGTTTTCAGATCGACCGGCAGGTTGTTCACCGTGATCGACTTGCCGGCGTTCGCCTTAACCTTCTCTTTGTCCACAACGTTCTGGAAGTCCTCCGTAATATGCGAGCCCCCGAATCGGCACACCACGCCGTGACGGCATTTGCCGAACATCTCAAAATTGTAACAGCGATCTCCGATGTCTGGCTGTCGGGCGGCGCCCATCGCTGCGATGTCGTGCGAGTAGTTGCACTTCTCGCCGTAACTGCACACCTCGCCGCCCATGATCGCCGGGCAGAGCTTTTCCGAGACGGGCACCCACTTATTCCGAGGCCGGCTGTGGTTCATCCCTCTCGTCTTCTTGAGTTTCTTCTGCGGCGGTTCCTTTCTGTCCGCTTCTTGTCTGGAAACATCGCTGTTGGCTCTGTCGCCATTTTGAGGGGGTTTATCGGAGCTCATAGGGCCATACTTCAAATGGATCTTGTCAAAATCGATGAAACTTGGAAAAATTGGAACAATAAACGATATATGTCAAAGTCTGGTTCACCTTTTGAAATTATTCTTACCATTGCACTCACAAACATTTATTATTTGTATACTACATGTGTTGACAAAGTACAAGAAGAAACAAAAGATCCCAGCAATCCCCCAAATCTAACATTTAAAGAGCACAGACTCTACAACTTGAAACTGAAATAAGAAGTAAATTTATTCAGAAATTTGAACAGAGACACAATTCCAATTGAAATGCGATGTCCCATGCTCCAGCATTGAAAAGCTCCCTTACTCCGTCTTGATTTTAGCCGTTCCTTGTCTCTCGTTCAGCAGCTTCATCAGTCTCGCCTTCTCCTCTGGGTGAAGGGTCTCCTCGCAAGGTGTCATCAGCTCGGTTACAGGGTCTTCCGTGCTCTCTTCCATCGCGCCAAGTCCAGCACCACTTTCTTCCATGTTTGAAATCTGTCAACGTCAAAAAGGAAATCAGATAAGTTTAGCTTTTTGTGACTGGTTTTCTTGTCATACATATTCCGATCCCAGGGAAGAATTCCATGCATGGACATCACTCAGTTTTCCCTACAGTAACCTATCTCTCAGCCGCAAAGAATTCAAACCTAGCTGGACATCACTTGACAGGGAAAATCCTTGATGGAACCTAGCTCGAGTAACTCCAGCTGACATGTTCATATTCATTCACATGTGAATGAATATGAGCATGTCAGCTGGAGTTACTCTAGCCCCATAAATGTGGCCTATTTACTGGACTACCTCCATAAACATAGGCCACACTTCCACATGTACAAAAACGGGTCGCACTTTGTCAAATTTTGATTTTCACATTTAGGCTTAGTAGTTAGTTTGTAGGTTTTTTTGCTTTAGAAGCATACTCACCCTCTTTATAGGCTAATCAGAAAGTGCTGCCTTTTTCAGATGTCAAATTTTTGTGAAATTTCATGTTGAAATTTTGATACGCAAACGTGTGCAAATGAATCTGGAAATTTCACGAAAAATAGACATCTGAAAAAGGCAGCACTTTCTGATTAGCCTATAAAGAGGGTGAGTATGCTTCTAAAGCAAAAAAACCCTACAAACTAAGCCTAAATGTGAAAATCAAAATTTGGCAAAGTGCGACACGTTTTTGTACATGTGGATGTGTGGCCTATGTTTACGGAGGTAGTTCAGTAAATAGGCCACATTTATGGGGCTAGAGTTACTCAAGCTAGATGGAACCCACTTGACACCCTGTGCACAAACCTATGACTGAGATTGGTATGAAAAAGTCCATGTGTTCTCTCAGTATATCATATGCTTCAATATTTTCCCTTCTAAATTTGACTTTTTTTAGGACATGTTATCGCTTTGTGGTGGCTGATAGGTAATTGCAAGGAAAATTTAGTGATGTCCACATATTGATTGAATTCTTTCCAGAAGTCAAAATTAGGGAAAATGGAAAGATTCCCATATCTGGCCATCGCTTGACACCCTGTGCACAAACACTATGAGACTGGTCTGAACATTTCTAAGTGTTTTCTCAGTAAATATTAGCCAATCAGCCAATCAGCCACCACGCGCCTGCAACCGTATATCTCATAGTGGAGTTTGCTTGCAGTACGCTACAGATACAGATAAATACTCAATATTTTCCCTGCTAAAATTTGACTTTTTACTTAAAATTTTAGGACATATTATCACTTCCTGATGGCTGATATAGTGATAGGTCACTGAAGGGAAAAATAAGTGATGGCCAGATACGGGAATCTTTCCGGGAAAATATTGAACTTTAATTGAAGCATTTACTGACATGACTGAGTCTGACTCTGAGCATTTAAAATTTTTAAGTCCAGTGTTTGTGCACAGACAAGTGATCCAGGACACAGGTATGAAACTCTTTTCCCGATTCCATATGTAATTGCAACATTATGTCTATTCATGGTTCATTCCAAGTTCATTGATCAATAATCATTTTGGAAATAATCTTAAAATGTCACCTAAAACAGCCAAAGCCAGCTGCAGAAAAATGACCGATCGACTGAACTTCAAGCTTCACAACGACATCTAGCTCACGACATGCAACAACTGCGAATACACATGTGCATGCACAACATTAACATTGCACATGGTCGGAATAGGATCGTCAATGATAGGTTACACCTTGGGGTATGTAACGAAATTAATGGTTACAATAATAATTCGTTATGCTGTATTGTAGTCAAATAACCCTTATTGGTGAAATAATGACATTTTCAATGTTTTATCTCTTTCTTTAAACTGTTCAAAATGGCCATTAATGTTGTTTTTGTTTCCAATTTATTTGATAAACATCCCTATTTTGAAATGAAACAATCTTGATGGCAGGTTGGCAATCTGGATCCCAGTATTCCCTCATGAGATATCAACGTTCTTGTATTTTGTTATCAGACTGGTTGATTCAAGCTCGCTGCTAGGCTGCGTGCATGCGTCCGACACATGACACGATTCCGGATTTTCCGATGCAATCAGCCAATCACGTAATAAAGACATTAAATTTTAGGGCCGGAAATAAGACTCAAGAGGTACTAGTACTGGGTAGGCCGTATTCCCAGCTGAGCTCCCACTCAAGTAAGTGGACTACATCATCGTTTGTGTAGTAGTAGTAGTGTTTATGATTTAACTTCCGTAAATTTTTGGATAGGCCTAAATTAATTAAGCTAATTAAATTCGCAGTGCCAGTGGCTATCGTTACGGCAGCCGTAACACATTTCCCATTTTCTATCGTTACGCAGCTCAGTACTGCAATTTTTAGAAAAACATGAGAAGAAAATATAAAAATTAAAATTAGAAAAAAAAAGTGAATTTGAAAATGACATTCAGACTTTATTTCCCTTTTTAAAAAAATCCTCCAAAGCCTCAGGCTCAGGTTAGAAAAGGAAAAAAATTCGAGTGCAAAACTGAGATTCGAACCCGCAACCTCGCGGTGCAAAATGCTACCCTCTATCGACTGAGCTGTAGCACTGCTCGCTAGAACGTGGGGAAACAAATAATTATATACCTGCGTGTGTATCAAAAAAGTAAAGTTGAGGGCGCTAAACAACGGCTGCCCTAACGGTAGCCACTTCGAATTAAATTATCTTGACCTAGACTAGAGCATAGGGCAAGTCAGTGCACCTTGCTCTATGGTCAGTGCATGGAGGTAGTCCGAGTAGTAACTTGGACCCAACTTATCGCCTTTTTAACATTCGGACATATATACCTATTTCAAAATTGTTTGCAGCCATTGATTTTCAAACTGTAAAATCTCTTCTTTTTTTTCAATTTCATTGAAGCAGATTGAAAGTGATGATCTTTCATTTCATTCGGGATTGAATCTGGCAAGTCACTGTCATGGCTGTCAACATCCCCGAAGTAATGGAAGAGAACGAAACGCCGACGTTCATCCACCAAGACCCCACCTGGCAACCCAATAAGAAAGCGCGCATCCAAGACGGAGTGATAAGCAGCAGCGAGACGGACGACACGCTACTCATGCGGCACCGGCACGCGCTGGGCATGCTGGCCGTCATGCAGACCATGCACCAGCGACGGGAACTCTGCGACGTGACGTTGATGGTCCAGGACCATCCCATCCCTGCCCACCGTTTGGTCCTAGCGGCCTGCAGCCCCTACTTCAACGCCATGTTCACCAGCGAGCTCAAAGAATGCAACGAGAAGACGGTCACGCTGCGAGACATGGACCACGTGGCGATCCAAGAAATCGTCAATTTCGCCTACTCAGCCAAGGTCAACGTCACGGAGGAGAACGTTCAGTCCGTGCTGAAAGCTGCCTGCGTCTTACAAATTGAACAAGTGATTAGCCTCTGCTGCGAGTTTCTCAAGACCCAGATGCACCCGTCCAACTGTCTTGGCATCAAGAGTTTCGCCGAGCGACACGGGTGCTTTGAGCTTCAGCAGGCGGCAGACACCTTCGCACAGCAGAACTTCTGCCAAGTCGTGCAGCAGGACGAATTCCTGCATCTCTCTGTCGAAGACCTGGTCGATTTGATAAGGCGGGACGCCCTCAATGTCCCCAAGGAGGAAGACGTCTACGAGAGCGTAATGCGATACCTCAACCAGAATCGCGAGGAGCGCTGCAAGCGCGTCGGGGAGATCTTCGAGCACGTCCGTCTACCCCTTCTGTCCTGGGAGTTCCTCCACAGCCGCGTCAAGGAGGACAACGTCGTAACGAAAGACGAGAAATGCAAGGGTTTTTTCGACGAGGCGAGGCGGTACCATGCCAGTCAGTTCTACCCGGGACTGCACTGGGAAGTCAGTATTCGAACATTACCGAGGCATTCGTTCAGTCGCTCCATTTACATTTATGTGGTTGGTAAGTTGAAAATACCGGTACATGTACATGTATATTAACTGTGTCAAAAATTTACTTTGATGTCTTGATACAAACTTGATTATTATTTAATGTTTTTACCATAGCTGACACCTACCACATGTAAAACTGTACACATTTATGTTTCACAAAAAAGGGATGTTAAATACTTTACAGTATTTTTACATTTTGACATTTGGGAAAGCTGCTTTTAGGCAGGTCAACTTTCTTAAGTCCATATTAACCAGAGGTCGATAGTAAAACTATTTCACAGCTTTCTGCTAAAAAGGCTCACAAATAATATCATACCTTGTGTTTGGAGACTGTATTTTCATTGGTTGACAACGGCCACATGTCCAATGCAACAATAGTTGACCTCAAATAAAATGCGCGTTGTGGAAACATGTAGAGCCTTCTTGCGCGCTTTCTACTGAAAAACCGCAACGGCTTAGTCTCATGTCCAGCAGGAAAGCCTGCAGTTATCAAAGGTTACACTGCAGTGATTTAATTTAGTTCTTGTTAAGTAAGTTACAACTTATATACAAGCCTTTATCTTTTTGACTTATTGGCACGATATAACAAAACAGTTATTGACTGCTGCGATGTGGGATATGTCGTTTTTAACCTCTTGGGGCAGGGGGCATACCGGCAAGATTACCATATGCGAAGTTCACTAATTTTCCTCTGTATTGACTAACAAGCCCCCAGATAGCAATTTCATGTCATCAAAGTCAATTTGAGCAGTGAGAAAATACAAGCATTTTCTTAGAAAACACTTCGAATTTTTCAGTCCACTCTCATAGGGTTTGTACACAGAGTGTTGAGTGAACTTCGTATATATGGAAATCTTTCCCAAACATGTACACCTTTCCTGTTTTTTCCCTCGTTTTTCATTTTCATCTTTTATAAACGGTTGTTAAATGCAAAGCTTATTTGAAAACTAGTGAAGCATAAGTAACACTACCACAGTGACAGTGCAAAAGTATAAACCTTCAAAGGATTTGCAAGGCTTTTTATTTGAAAAGAAAATTTCAATGGGCGCAGCATGCTTTCATTTCCATTCATTGTACATGTATGTTTATCATACACCTCTTACATGTATATCATGTACTGGTACATTAGTGTGCGCTAGATACAAACATGTACATGTACATGTAGACTGTACCAACAAGTTATATCTGCGTTATCACTTGGTGACCAGATGCAATCTTGAATTCACAATAATGCAATATCATTGATTTCTATTTCTACTAAAATATCACGTGCACTCATGCACATGTACAATTTCCATACGGTATCACCTGCATATACCCTGATAAATATTTGAGTGCTTATATACATGTGTGATAAACATATATTCATATGTGTATGGGAGTAAACAGGGTTTAACAATATACAACATGTACAGTGCACATGTACATGTACATGAACCATGATACATGTATATTATTAGAAAATAGAAACATGTAATTGTACTAGCAAATTTCTTTAAAACTTAAAAAAAAAAATTGTTGAGACATTCATTCGAGGAATAAAAGTTATGCAGAAATTTTTCTCTCTTTGTCAGACTTCTACATATATACATCCCACTTGATGTTTAGTTCATGAATGTGAAATGATCAATGAAGTTTGGACATTGGTTTGCTTTTTTTGCTTTAATACAGAATTGTTTTTCACATCAGGAAACTTCATTTTTATGTATTTGTGAAAGGGGAATATTTGGTTGATACATGTAACTGAACAATTTCTCTTTTTCTCTCTATTTTTCGGTAAAGGGGGTGAAATGAACCCAGGTCGGGCCACTACAGGCGCAGCGGAGCGCTACACCCCAGCCCTGAACTGTTGGACCTCCATCGCCCCCATGAACTCCCCCCGGCGCGGTGTGGGTACCGTCATGCTGGACAAGATCCTGTATGCAGTCGGCGGCGCGGACAACACCGCCCTGGACGCAGTCGAATGCTTTGATCCCCCCGTAGGGGCGTGGCGTTACCTGGCCCCCCTCCAGGAGCCGCGCAGCAGCGTGGCTGTCGCGGCCTCCGGGGGGAACGTGTACGCGTTCGGCGGCTACAACGGGATGACCAGTTCCAGAACGGTGGAACGGTACGATCCCAACACCAACGAGTGGAAATACACGCCAGGTACTGAAATTGTGATTGTTTTTTCCCCAGTTTTTCTTGTCCAAGAAATGGCCAGTCCTCTCTGCAGTTTGCACATCAAAGACGCGCTCACAATTTGCTTGTGAATTAGACTTGTGTCAGTCTCACTTTGGCCCATAAGTTTACAATTTAGGATTATCCCGTAATGCCAATGAATAGGCTAAATCTGTCTCATTGTGTAAGCCACATGCATGAAAGGACCACGAGCGAATAGCCAGTCTGAAACCAACATTTTGTCACCCTCAGGCTTGAAATATAATGTGGTTTTTTTTTGGGGGGGAGGGGGGTGCTCAACTATACTCGCTTGCTCATTTATTAAAATCATTAACTCCTCTAAAAATGTACTGTCAGTAAGGTGGAAAAAAAATTGATTTCGAAGTTTTGTTACCATTTAGATGTTGCCATAGAATTAATGGTTTTACCCTTCAAATGTACATGTACATTCAGTAACACATGCATGCGTGTATTTTATGAGAGCCAATCATCCTCTTTGTCTACACGTTTGAGCAGATGCAAGCAAATTCTGGATAATTTTGTGGACATTGAACTTTCGTTTTGTGAAAACCTACCAATGTACATGTAGGCCTATAGATGTACACTGTTGGGGCAGTATGCCAGTTTTTGTTAGCACACACGCATCCTGTTCACAGAGACTTTGTTTACATTGCACACATGGGCGCATCCTTTTGAAAATATTTGTTATTCTTCAGTCTATCTCACATGTTGTTTGCTAATTGGCAAACCGGAAAGAGATCTTTAGTAAGGAAAATTGCCTTGAAATTGCAATAATGGTAATTTGTAAAGTCTCAACTGTGAAACTGCCAATTCAGCCTAGTAGTGACCTCAGACCTACATGTACGTAGGTTGTTTATTCAATTCAAGCTGCATTGAGTTATGCAATTGATGACATGTACATATATTTAAAACATTTATCTAATTATCATTATAAACTTCATCTTTTATACACAAATACATTTGCCTAAGACATCCATTCTTATTGGTTAAGAGCCCGTCACGTGGGTGGTTTTAAACGGACGATAAAACACCGGCTGGCTGGTTTTAAACATTTTTCCGGTAGGCCTATCACATGAAATTTGGACTCCTATGAAATCTGGTCCCTTTTACCCAAAATTATTGGTTGAACGTTCACAATCTTCACTTGGGTATGCGCAATACTACCATTCAGTCTGTATTTTGAGAGTCCTATTTTCACACTACTTTGGCACAGCTGCATGCTGCGCCACATCGCGCCGTGTGCGCCACATCGCGCCGTACGCGCCACATCGCGCCGTGCGCGCCACATCGTGCCGTACGCGCCACACGCTCGCCAATCTTCATATGTGATGCGATCAAGCTAAATGAGTCGTTTGGCTACCCCGGTTAAAAAAATTTTTTATTACAGATTTGAAAAGAGCACGATCTCAGCATAACTGCTGTGAAAACCGTTTGCTGATACCATCTTTAGTTCAAAAATTATGGAAGTCGGAACACCAAGAGATGTGATGGAGTGATGTGATGAAGTGGCCCTATTTTGGCCTGTATCTCCTAATGAAAATTCCCGACAAACGACTCATTTACATGTAGCTTGATCGCATCACATATAAGTTGCAGTGTAAAATTGCCCATTATACAAAGTGGGACTGTTGGTACGGAACTGACCTGGCCTGCTACGTCTGTTGACCTTTCAGCCTTGAGTAGACTGTGGGAAAGCACACAGTCCTTTTACAGAAATGGATGGAGTGATTTGTTCAAAGTTTCTTTCAAGAGACTGTTTGGTTATTCTTTCAAGGTCACTGTAAGCAAAACTCTCCTGTTGCAACAAAGGACGTCGATGTCCAAATTTCTTTGTGATGGGCAGTAATTAGTTTTGTGAGGAATCTTTTGATCCTTAAAATCGCTAACGATGTGCTGTGCAGGAACCCAATGGCATATTCTTTGAAAAGTTTCAAGGGCAACATGCCTGATGTAAATTAATATCAATTAATAGAGGCTGGTTTTGCCAAAACTTCCTGAAGGACTTTGAAGCATCTCGGACTAGGATGGTTAGGGTGTAGTCTATTAAACAACAATCGTATTCCACAGTTCTCAATACATGTATTAGTATCGGTCCGAAGAAGATTTGTTTTGGCACCAATTTATTTATATATTTTTTTGTCTTTTTCCACAAACAAGAGCCAGAGCATTGCAATTATATTTGTTTCCAAAAGATAGTACACATGTATATTTCCTCTCGCGATGAAATCTCTTTTCCTCACCATAAAAAAATGAATGACATTTTGAAAATTGTTCACCATTTGTCTCTATATTTAGATATGACATCACCACGTAGCATGGCGGCGGCTGTTGCCCATGGTACCAACATCTATGTCATTGGTGGATACGATGGGTCGTCTGATCTGAGCAGTGTAGAATGCTTCTCGCCAATGGTAAGATCACAAGATTCTGTGGACTGTTGTGTGTTTACGGTCGAAAAGCTTCACCCCAACCCCCCATAGGCATGATTACCTTGAACTTTCCTGTATGCCCTGGCATCCCCTTCTGTATAGAAACATGAGTGGCATTTTTTTTTTAAACCCAAAGTTGAAATCAAGTTCCATGTAAAGTTGCGATGTTGTGGTTTTAGAAAATTGATTGGTGTCCTCCATAATTTGCCTTGGTGCCCTCGATCATTTGCCTTGGTGCAATTTCCCATTCCTTGGTGCTCTTTGGTAAAAAAAAATTGAGGAGGTGCAGCAATAGAGGGCGCTGTTGGAGCTACCGCGGAACATTTTGGGGAAAAAAAGGTTGACGCGCATGATTAAAATCGACGCGCGCGCTGACCAGAGACCGACTTAATTTTTTTTTGGCCTAACTTAGATACTCGGTCAGTCAGTGACTCAGTCAGTGAGTGACTCAGACAGTCAGAGCTTTGGTCCGGCCAGCATATGCAAGCTCCCAAAAGATGCTCAGTCTCAAACTGTGAACATCCAAGATAATGCAATTAAGTAAACAAATAATAACTTTGATTGTTGATACAGGTCAAGAAATGGCGGGCGGTCTCTCCAATGCACACGGCCCGATCCATGGTGGCTGCTACGTCATTCAAGGAGAGAATCTATGTTGCTGGTGGATGCCACTGCAGTGTCAGGTAGCCTCAGCTATGTGTTATACACTTAATAGGCTTGCACTTTAGTAAACATATTTTTAATATAAATGTAACCTAAGCCAAGAAATGAGACATAAGTTGTCAGAACTACCGTAACTTTGAGCCCTGAAACAATTTTTGCACCTTGGGAAAATCCAGACAGCAGGGAGGAATTTAAGGTAAAGGTAAAGATCCCATAGCCATTACTGGCCGTAGGGGCAGTGGGATGTTAGTGGTCCACTGTGTCTTGGGCGCGGCATATGAGTGGCGGTGCCCAGTCCTCTCCTCTCGCCGTCTTACCTTCCCTGAACGAATCAGGTACCCATTTTACTGTTGGGTCGTCAGAGAGAGTTTTCCAGTTTTTGGTCCGAATGGGATTCGAACCGCCAACCTTCCGCTCCGGAGCTCCACGCTCTTACTGCTCAGCTACGAGGCCCCTCCCCTAAGAGGAATTTAAAATCATTGCAAAGTTCAGAATTTAAACGGAGACACAGGGTATTGAAATTAAAGTAAGGCTTGTTAGAATGAGATGCCCTTGATGTAGAATGTTCTTCAGCTAAAAAATGGGTGAAATTTGTGTGTTTTCTTTTCCAGCTTGGCAAGCGTGGAGGTCTACAACAGGGCCACAGACGCCTGGATCCTAGTCCAGCCGATGAACCACCCCAGAAGCGGAGTGGGCCTGGCCGCCATCAACCAGCGGCTTTACGCCCTCGGAGGTTACGACGGCAGCGAGTACCTCAGCTCCGTAGAAGTCTACGAGAAGGAGAAAGACGAGTGGACAGTTGTAAGCAACATGGAGGCCCCCCGCCGCCGTTTTGGATGCTGCTCTTAACATCAGGTAGTATTAAGGTTCTAGATTACAGGTTCTAGGTTCTAGAACCGTATACACAATTGTTGGAAATTCTGTGAAATCCAACATCAAGTAATATTTAGGTTCTAGAATGAGACAGACAGTCAGCATTATGGCAGCCTCCACCACTTGTTTGGCTGCTGTTCTCAACTTCTAAGATTAAGGTTCTAGAACCGTGTGGACACTTCTAGAACCAAATAGACAGTGATGAGCAGAATGACAGCAATACATGCAATATGGTTTGGGTGCTGTTTTTAACCCCATCGAATAGAATTGAGGATCTAGAACCAAAATATACAATTGTGAGCAATATGGAGTCTCCTCCCTAGTCACTGGTTTCATTTCTATTCTTACAGTAGGAGTTAGGTTCCAGAAACTTAGGATGGCCCTGAGAAAGTTAGAAGGTCCCTGGTTCATTTTAAGTGTTGTAGTGGTTAGTTTCCAGAACCAAACAGACAGTGATGAGTAATGTGGGAGCCTCTGGCATTGGTTTTTGGGCTGTTCTTAAAAGCAGGTAGGATTTAGGTTCTGGAACTGAACAGACAAATGTGAGCAATATGGAGCCCCTCCCACCACCTGTTTTGGTTCTATTCTTAATGTCAGCATTGCCAGATGGGATTTAGGTTCTAGAACCTAATAATGGTTGCGCTGAATTTAGAAGCGCCTGACACCAGTTTGGGTTCTGCTCTTAACTTCAGATAGGATTTAGGTTCTAGAACATAATGGAAAGTTGTCAGCAATATAGAGGCTCCCCCCGAGCTGGTGGAACTCTGAATTTCTGGAAAGATATGGGTTCTAGAACCAGTTGACCAAAAAAATATTTTCAAAATCTAGGGTCCAATTTTTCAAGTTGCTTAGCATACAACATTGCCATTGAGGTAGCTAAGAACATGTCAGTTGTAAAAAAAAAAAATATGGATGAGAGGGGCGCATTCCAAAACCACAGCATGTCTCCATTCCACCCTCTTGTAGCAGAGCATTTGGTTATTAAAAAATTTGAGAGGAGATTTTTCTGCTTTTACACATTTTAAAAGTTGTCATGTAATTTGTACTACATGTGTATTTTAGGTCTGTCCAGTTTGAAGCAGTTGAGACTGCTCATTTCTGTTTTAAAGTTGGAACAAAAGAAATGTTGGCTGCACATAATTTTTTTTTTTTTTTTAAATTTCTGTCGGTAGTGAGATGGTAATTTTTTGTCATTCACGGCTCACTGCCAGTGCGATACATGAGGTTAAAATGAGGATTTATGGAAAACTGAAAACGGAAAAGTTTTCTTCAGTTTCCATCCTACCAAAGAGAAGGGTTGACTATATACGGTCCTTCATTAATAAGCAAAAAATAATGAAAAAAAAAAATACTTCACCGAAGAAAAGAAGGCACACGTAAAATTTGGCCTGAATCCAATATTGACTGAAAACAGTCAGTGTGCCTTGTTTTTGGCCTGTGAAATTTAAAAAAAAAATGTTTAAAGAATTGTGAAGAAAACTTATTAAGTGCTGCAACATTTGAGATCATGTGCCGATTTTTCAAATTGTACACTGCTGCATTGATAGACCAAATATAATGTTTCTTTTTGATTAATAGAGAGATTATAAAAGATCTACATTTATGAAATTTTAAATATGTAAAACGAATCTTTAGGATATTTTTTGACATCGATTTCTCGGTCTAAACCTTGCTTTTTCTACATTAATATCTTTGTTTTCCTCGTTCAGTACTTCCATTTGTTACCTCTGCCAAGGTTATGCTTTCACCGTCGTCGGTTTCCCTTTTAACAAGATAACTCAGAAAGTTATGGACGGATTTTCATGAAACTGTTTTTAGGGGTGGTCCTTGGTACAAGTACAAATCGATGAAATTTTGGAAGTGATCCGGATCTGCATCTGGATGCAGGATTTTTTTAAAAGGACTTTCACCCATCATATGGAAAAGTTTCACCTGTTAAAGGGAATATACATCATTTGCTTTTGCTGTAATTTTCAGAAATGGTTGGAATTGGGGGGTTGGAAATATAAAGCAAATATAGTTACACTGACTTTTTGGAGGTTTTGGGTTCGAAAATGCTATAAAAACCAAGAAAAACGATCATTTTCCTGTAGTCTGGTTCCCTGACTCCATATAAGAAGAAACAGAGCAGTTTACATACATTAGGGAATTGTAAGGTTAGGGAACCAGTCTAGCTGGCTCGTACCCGTTCATAGGTTTGTAATCGATTGTAAACAAGTGCGATGGTCAATTGGGGCCAGTATTTGAAAAAAAGCCAGTTGTTTCCAACGCTGATCGGCCGATCAGCGTTGGAAATTGATACAAAAATAACACTTTTCTTGAAAATGACAGTATACCAGGTGCCATAATTTTACAGGATGCTTTAGACTGTCATTTACCAACATCCTATTAAGGTATTTCGCAAAAACTTGGTAGTTTTATTTTTCGATGTTTGCAAATGTTGTATATTCCCTTTAAACCAGCTTCATGGGCATGGCACTGACCCGGTGACCCTGTACAATGTATGCCTTATCACCCACCTAATCTAACCACACAGGTCAATGGAATAGACCATTTTATACAATGGGGGAGTGGAAAGGTAGACCAACACAGAACTTATAAACTACAAAATGTTTGAGTTTAAGGATTGTTTTAGAAACCACATGTATGCATTGGTGCGGTGTTTAATGGCGGGAAATTGTTTAGCCTTGGCGGAGGTGTGCGCTCTCCGAGTGCTATATGTAAATACATTTGCACAAAGCTTGAATGTTCTCTGCTGCAATAATAAATGTTTAGAATTCATTTTTCTGTACCCTTAATGTAAATTTACAAATTCTGATGTTCTATATATATATTTCTGTTGTTTCTACCACAAAACATGTATTTAATGTAACCATGGTAACCTTTCATTTTGTACTTGCACATTGTATATATTATGTATACCTGAAATTGTACCGAGGACTACTAATAATCTAGGTATAATTAGCTAACCAAACCAACTTTTGTATTTAAGAAGATTAATGTGAATAGGAATTATGTTCAGAGTTCACATTTAGGTACATACAAAGTACGCATTTTTGTAAGTAGCTGTGCCGCAAGATATCAGTTGTCTATAATATGTATCATCTTTTCACAGAGAAATTTATGTTGTTAAACCCTTACTAACTTGTAATCATTCAACATACAGCTGCATATTCTATTTAACACTGAAATTTCTGAATGGTGCACACTATGGGCTCCATGCACATTATATACTCCTCCAATGGCCAGAAAAGGAGAGTTGGGGGTGACCTAGACTGGTTCCCGGTCCATCCACTGGAATTTTAAATGATCCAAAGTTATTAGGGGCGGGGGATTAGTGTGGGGGACCAGTTAAATTTGAACGTATTCACGCACCGACAATGCCTGACGCTCACGCGCGAAGACGCTATGGCGTAGCTTTGTGCACATTAAAGTTAAACGTACTTTACGCTGAAACCAGTACAGTTTGCACAGGCGGTGTCCCATCCAAGGGGCTCTCAAAGTGGTAAAAACGCGCCCTCTTTTGTTGGCGCGCAGAGCTCAAAGCAGTGCCCTGAATTGGTATTGGACTGCGCATGGTTCAACAAGAATGTGCCAGACCCAGACCCTACACGATTTTCTTCAAAGTTAAACATGTTACAATCTTATCCAGCGAATATGCAGTATCACATTACATATTATTATAAGCAAAATGGAAAATAACGATATAAATTCATTACTTGCTATGGCTGTATCGAATTAGGGTACAGGAAGTTTCCCACCCAGGGCTTACTATTGCAAACGAGGTTAAAAAAATAAAGTAACTCCTGGGGATGAGTTTCAGGAAATGGGCTGTTGGTGCACTCAAGTGTTATGCCGCCCTCTTTTGGCAGGATGGGGTCACTTCAAGTGTATACACGTGTATTTAACAAAAAAATCCCGCCTGGTGACCGCTACGTACACAAAGGCCATGTCAGTTATGGAGCAAGCATTGTTCGATTTGTTGTTTCAGTTAACTGCCCAATTGGTCAAGAAAAATATTGAGGCGTTCTGGCATTTCTAATACTTGAGCCCAGATTCGTGTGTATGTATACATTGTATTCGTTGCAGGTGGTTGAATTATGTGATGTACACAAATGTACATGCACAGTCGAGTCTCGTTAATACAACTCGTTCGGACCTAGCCAAATTGTTTGTTATATCAGAATTTTGTATTAAGAGGAACATCAGTCCCATTCATTGTGCACATAAATGCACAGTCGGGACTAAGGCTTTATGTTTGTTATAACCAGAAGCTTGTATTAACAGAGTTTGTACTAACGAGAGTCGACTGTACTTGTACTGTCGAAACCTTTATAACAAGATCCTTGGGACTTTACGAATTACCTTGTTGTAACAGGTACCTTGTATTAACAGTAACGGAAGACAAAGACTTGGGACCTAAAATTTTGCTTGTTATAAGCAGTACCTTGTATTAACAGCGCTCTTCTTATCAGGGTTCGACTGTAGTTGGTTTGACTTTCATTGGAGCTATGTGTAATATATTTGAAACCTTTTTGTACTATACATGAATATTCTTGAAACTTGTAACAATTGTAGAACTGTAAGTTAGTCTTTTATTTCTCAACGAGGTAAATAGCAGCTAAGACTTTTATATGCAGAACAGTGCAAATCTGACAAAAATGTTGTCGGGTTGTATTTCGGGCTGAAATAAATGTCATATTTTTTTTCATGTACTAGTTTCTAAGACAGGTATATTTGGTTTGAATGTTACACTTGACAGCACTTGAAATGTATATAATTACGCCACCGGGACAATTTATTTTTTTTAATAACTTTTAAGATTTAAATGTACAAAATGCAAATGTGCAACTGAAATTCGGAAGGGTGAAATTATGTAGAATTGTTTGAATTTTCAGTGTATGTACAAATAGGGAATGAATATATGAATGGTTTCAGTAAACACCGTGAAGCCGTGAAAACTCTTTCAGAAAACACTGCACAAGTTTGAATAATAATTATTAAAGTCATACCAGTAGCTCTGCTTTTCTTTAAAACTGCCGCTTTGGTATTTCTTGTGGTTTGTGTATTATCTACGCAGGCTTTCAAGTATTCCAACTTTTACTACTTTTTGCTAATTTTTTTTTTAACGAAATCTCATTGAATATTTTTCATAACAGTGTTACACACTGTCATCTGTATTAAAATCACACAACTGAGGGTTTGGGCGCAGGAGTACTGCAACTGTACTTCCAAGAGCTTAGTTGAGGATGGACCACGAGTGTTGCGAGTACAGAACATGTCAAATGAGGCTGATGATGCCGGTGAGTGTGCCATGAGCGAGTATCAACGAAAACATTAGTACTCCTGAAAGCCCGCTAAAGTCCTATCCTTTTTTTCATTTTGTCCTCCAAAATCTGACTTTTGTCCTGGTTTCTTTCTTTTTTTCTGTTTTGAGTATTTTTATCCATTGTTATCCTACTACTTTTATTTTTTTTAACAGGTTCTGCTTGAAAGCCTGTGTACATGTACAATGTAAGACATTAATAACAATTGTCGCTCTCTTTTCTGCAGAATAAACAAATCTATGATAACATATTGTACAATTATCTCACTGAATAGCTCTCTTGTTTTAATGTCAGTACGTTTAAAGAATGCTTTCAAAAATCTCAATACACGTGATGTTATATAAAGTACATTGTAACGTCTTTTTTTTCCCCTGTGCATTGCGTACAGGGTGGTGCAAAAAGAAAGAAACCCAACTTGACAGCAATTTTCACCTAGTACTTGTTCAGCATATTTCAAAAAATCAATTTAATGGTATTGATATATTGATCTTTAAACAGCAACCAAAACAAAAACGATTGCAAATGCTTTGTCTCTGAGATATGGTAGTTTAAAAATGTCATGAGCCAAACCTGTTTGTCCACGGACGGCTTTATTCCATCCGCTTGACTATGAGCTCCGGAGCTTGATTTGAAGACAAAAAACACTATGTGGACAGTGATTTTTCGTTGACAAGCACATTTTCAGGGAAGATGCTGGAAATAAGAAAGTCTGAAATAATGTTCTCACTTGTCTATGGATTGATATGAACCCAAAGGAATCTATCCCTTGCCCCAAATGAAAAGGAGGCCCTGTGCACGGTTTAGTCGAAACGGGGGGGGGGGGGGGGGGGAATAAAGGGGTATATTTTTATATCTTCTGCGCGGGAAAAAAATAGCGCGACCTTTTTATATACGTTCGATTAATTTTGTTCATATGTGAACTTCCAATAACAATGCCGGATGACCTTGGCAATATAGCTGCATGTTTTTTTTTCCCACTCGGTCAAGTATAAAGCAAACTTTTGCCGATGGGTCACTCAATCTACAACACACTTGCCAAGGGCATGACAGGTATTGGGTGGACAGGACTTATATAGGGAAAATACATTGCTTCATGGCGTTTCCATAATCTTTCAGTCTGTAGAACTTGAAATTATTGGTGCCTTGCACGCGCTTTCACGTGTGAAGTATTTTGCCTTTGAATATTTGTTGCACCACAATACAAACAAGTGCCATTGTGGTCCGTTTCTATAGGTGCGGAACATTTTTGTACTGCAAGAACGTGCTATTATGTTGTGAACTTTCTACCAGCACATCGGCTGTACTTCAAAATGGATTTTGTTCTCATCAGGATCTTGATTTAGTTGATTGAAAAGTAATCCTGGATATAGAGAGTGCACGGCATTCAGTCTTTCTATTTCATTTGAGCACAAGGCCTATTTCAAGGCCACAACGACAGGTGAGAGTGACATAGCGGGTTTTTGTTGTTCAGAGATCATGGGTCACAGCATTCAGAACAAGAAGTTTTCGAGTCCCTTCGACGATTTCGAATGACTGTGCTTTGGGTGTGGATCGCAAAGTGTACTCTTTTGCCCGGGAGTTACTGTGCGTCTGTCTGAAAGTTGCATTACTTGGAGTCCAGTGTCCAGTTTTGAACTACAGGAGGACATGAAACATTATTTTGTTGCCCAGTATTTTAGTGAGGAACGGAGTAAAGTAGCTCGAATCGTGACCGCAGTGTGAAAGGGATCGAAAACAACCACCCTGCATGCCACTGACGACGGCATCTGTTCTACCTTACATTTGGCACCGTGTCAGTTACTAAACGTAACGGAGGAGTGCTTTCATTTTAAAGTCCGGAATTGCCGGCCACTTTAATGCTGAAACAGTTGCGATCGATGTACATGTATCTAAAATTAGCGGTACTTTAGAGGAAAAGCTAGAAAGCGTAGCAGTTTTGCTGCATGTTATTCAACTTGCATGAACCGCTCTTTTGAAATTTTGATGCTGGGAGATTATATCTCTTAATATCTGGAGACAAACAGGGATATAGATCGAAGCTTGGGAATAAATCGCAATGTCCCATCGGGACGAGAGGTACAACGGTCATCAGACCGCAGGCAGTAGTGGGAGGACCCACTACAGTACCCGGGACAGTCGAGTGGATCGTCGGCACTGGCAGTACAACGACCGGGGCATTTTAACACGAGGTAGAGTACAATTTAATTTTGTTTTTTTTCTGTTCAATGTACCAGTTCAGAATGTTACATGTATGATGTAGTTCTGTAAGATATTCGATATTCTCTCTTTAACTCCGAACCAGAATCTCAATTTCCTTCTATCATAACGTGAGGAGTGTGGCCCGGTACGTGGTTAGGATTCGTGACTCATGATCAGAGGGACAGGGGTTCGAATCCAGCTGCTAGTCGTGTGTTTTGTCCTTGGGCAAGCCACTTCACCCCACTTGCCGCTTTCCACCCAGGAGTATTAATGGGTACCGGCATTAGCTGGGGAGTAACCTGCGACGGACTAGCATCCCGTATAGAAATATTATCAGTGAGTCGTTTCATGCCACTGAAACCGGAGATAATTGCCGGCCTGATGGGCCACATTGACTCACGGTGTACTGTGACCATTAATTCCTTCCTCCATGGTGTGACAGACTTTAACTTTACTACTTTACTTAATTACCCTAGGACTTAATTTACTTATTCTCAAAGCACATGTCATTTAGTGTCTTCCCACGCACTGCCTCCTCAAAACGGAACTCCTTACCTGTACTTGATTTTAAAGATGATCTGTCCCACTTCATTGACGTTAACAGGCATACTTACACCTTAAGTGGCCCTCAGTATTATTAGGTCTATACAGCCTTGTAATTAATGATGGGGATTCTCATAAAAAAAAAAATCAAAGAACAAAACATCTTCCGTTACTAAGACTTCGTTCGTTCTTTTAATGTCTTTTTTAGCCTCATCAGTTTGTAGCCCAAACCTAACCGAAGAGTGTTTCTAATACAAAGTCTATACGGGATTAATGTCACGATCACAGCCGGGAGCCGGTGTAACGTGAATATCCGACTCCATGAAATATGGACTCATTGGTAGTATTGTGCATGCGTAAGTACGATAATATGCTAATTTTAGGATCATGTCGAGTGACCTGTGCACGTGCGAGGGATTGAATAGGGAATAGGGGTCCGATTTTCATGGGAGTCGGATTTTCACACGACACCGGCGCGCGTATAAATTATACGCTCAGTGATAGCGCCGGCCGGGCTGAGAAATCTTAACTGCCTTAGGCCTAGTGTTACTCTACCGTCTCGTCGAACTATACATGCACTTTTAGAAATATCTATTTTTGAATAAGTTCGATAATAAAAAAAATCTTTCCGAAACCCAATTAATGCACGCGACCGTGAAGTTGAGCAGCACTGGGCCACGATATACTTTTCTAGCTATGCTCACTGTCCAAATCTGAGCCATGCATTTATGATGTCATCATGTCATGGACGAATTATAATTGTGCATGTCACGTATGCAGCTCACGGCAGGCAGGTGCCAAAATGTAGCGCTTGCTATAAAATTCAAAGTCATCGGATGGGTGCACACCGGTATAAATAGGCCTAAACCCATCCACCGAGCGCGATACCCTCAAAATACTCTATATCAGAGAGTTCTGAGCTACAGCCATACAATTGGGGAATTAAAGAGATATGGCAATAAACCTCTGGCCCGGATTTGGGGCTTCCAAAGTGAGCATTTTGGATGCAATCGGGCTCGAAAGCTAAGTACAAGTGGCACTATTTGCCTTGTTGTGGAGGGATCCTTTTTTTTTTTCTCGAGATGGCTACTTTTCTGCTTCGGGGAAAATAGGGTTCGTCTTTGGGTGACTCGAAAAGTCAATAGTCAACACACCAAAAAAAGGAAAAGAAAATGGAAGATGACATGTTGATCATCATCATCCCCGAATACCTTAGAGAGTTCTGAGTATTTTTTGTTTTAAGTATGGGCATTTAGCACTGGTTTCCATGGGAATTTTAATACACTCCGCATTTTTTCCCCCAGTAGGTGGTTGTTTAAGGCATCATTACTTTTCATGATTAATTCATTAATTTAATTGGATCATTGCAAGAAAATTGGGTTCTCAGTCTGTTTTTCTTCGCCTTAATTAAACTTATCCCAAACGACAACGTTGGAGAAGAAAATAGTTGATAAAAAAAATGGGCATTCCTGGCCCAAGAGCATGATTTGGACCCGCGGTTGCCGGGGGTGGTCCGCCTCAAAATCAGCTCGACAACGACCGTTCTTTTAAAATGTTTTCGGGTAACTATTTGACAAAATGATAACATGCTGTTGAAGTCATTGATCTTTCCTCACAAATAAATATAACTTTCCCATCGAAAATACCAAATTATTCGTAATGTTGCTTCACCCGCCTGCGGAGGAAAACAAAATTCGCCGGAGAGACTGGAAACCAGTCTAAAATGACAATTGCAGCGCCCTCTATGGTCGTAACATGCACAACATGAATCACACAAAAACCCCGGTTCTCCGACCCCGCGAAGTTCAAGCTTGATTTATACATTATTCCATTAATCACAATGTATTATTTAAAGAGGTAAGCCTATCAGGCATTGCCTGATCTTGACATTTTAATTAATTACCCTCTCAAACTGCCACAACTCTCATCATGCTCATCGCATAATACAGTCAGTGTTAGACCCGTGAACGTGGCGTAGTTTACAAGCCACGTTCACGGGTCTAAGTCAGTGTAATAATGGGATTTTGTTTCCAGTCACTGGTCAGTCTACTCAGTCATGCATCATGCATCATGCGCGATGACCATGGAATCAGACCATTTTTACAATTTCGGACTTTATTTCCTTTAAAAAAAACCCAGAGGGCGCCACGAATCAGAAAAAAGTAACTAGGGCCTAATACTCTGCTATTAAAATTTAATGGTGGAGGCAATTTAAAATTATAAAAGAAGAATATTCTTAATTTTTTGGAATGAAAAAACAAAATACAAAAAGTTGATACAATGAATAAACGGACTTGGCCCAGCGATCTGCCCACCCCACAGGTGCTGCACAAATGATGCTGGCAATTTAATACCTTTTATAATTTAGGCCTACGCCTATACGCATCAAATGTAGAGGGCGCTGTTCAATCTAGCCGGCTAAATGTCCATTATCGCTTTTTATTGAAGTAGATTTCACTTAAATCCATATAGGCCTAGCTTCGGTGGATTTTTTTTAAAGGGAAATAAAGTCTGAGAAAATAAGCAGTTGATTGTCTTGTTCCAAGAGCCAAGTTCCTTGTCAAGTCAGGGAACCATACTAACATGACTAACATGACTAAACAATAGCTACATGTACATGTACTGCGTTTTTCTTTTGACAGACGTAGGAATTGCAGCACCATCACTTGCGTACAACCAGGATTGGCTAGATGACCCCAACGCAAGCAGACATAATGGAAGGTACGCGAAAATAGACAGTTTGTCTTGGTTAGTTCTGTTTGTATTACACTAATCCAGCGAAAACCATTTTCTAGGGTTCGCGTGGGTCAAGCTCGGGTAACTTAATTCGGGATCTGATGGACCAATAGAGTTGTGCATGCTCCTGGTCTTTAAGGACGTGTGCAGCATGCGCATGGGCATGGCGCCATCGCAGTAACAGCATCTTATTCTGGTCGCCGGATTCCGCTATAGGTGAAGTTAAAAGTGGCGCATTAGTGATGGCTACGGGTCTTGGTATGAGGGAAAGACTGCAGCAGTGTCCCCAGGCCATTTTCAGCTGCGGAGAGCAGTTCTAGAAGTAATCATGTCTCTCGGTTGGTTAGTAACAAATGTCAGCAAATGCCTTTGTTGGCAATCAATCACCTTGTCAATGTCATTCACCTTAGGCCCTCACAACAACAGGTGCTTCAGGTCTCCACAACTGACCAACTACCAATTTATTGCAGTCGTGGAAAATTGGGTCACGAGGTCACTCATTTCGCATTGGGGCTGGCACTGTACTGTACACAAGTTGGATGTTCCACATGCTATAAAACGCTTCATGCACCAACAAAATAATGGGAATCCTTTTCAATTGACAGTCACAACCACGTGAGTAGTTGTACGTTATACAAACAGACTGTTACATCATGTACATGACTTATAGGCTACAGCAGGTCTACAGTTCGGCCGCAGCTTCCGAGATCTTTTTGACCTCGTTTAGGTGGTTGTGATTTTATTTTGCCAACAAAATTTGGAATGTTTACAACTTCAATTTTGTTTCTCAATACCTAAACTACAGTCACTGACCATTAATCATTAGGGTTATTCATATTGGCATGGTGGCATCAAAGAACTGCATTCCCCCACCCCTACAATTAAATAAATAACAAATTTAAAAGGGCTGACATTAATCAGTTAACAAAAAAACTTCCAAGTTTACCTCCCGTAAACAGTGACGTATTTCCAACTAAGGCAGAAATCATATGAATGTATATTTTGGAAATGTCTTTTTTTTTTGGCCCCATATTTCAGCTATGAATTGTGGGATCGGGAGCCTATGTACTACTATGGTGGAGAGAGGCCGCGTTCGCGACCCAGGCAATCGCAAAAGAGGAACGCCGGCAGACACCGGCGTCCGGCGGTCAACAACAGACGCGTCAATGTAGTATACAACCCCAGTATAAGAAGGAGGGAAGACCACCGAGCCTCGATGCGTTCGTCTTCCGACCCCCAGCGTGATCAAGACGGGGACCCACCCGAAAAGGAGGGAGGGATCTACAAAAGTGTCGTAGATTTTGCAACGGATACCACGACGGCCCATGGCTTTCCGAACATGTTTAAGGCGACATCTACTATCGGGCGATTGATATGGGCCTTCATCTTCTTCACGGCTCTCGGCGTGTTCATCTGGCAGGCCAGTGTGTTGGTCAGAAGATATTTCATGTTTCCTGTTTCTGTTGAAGTGAGTATTTCTTTCAAATAACGCACATATCCGCATATTGTTTTTAAGGTGCTAGATCAGCATCAGACCGGGACCTGGAGAGCTCTGAAACGTGCAAAACAAAATCAGGCCAACTTTACTCAGTCTTTAGCCAGCAAATTTCTCCAAAAATTCCATTGGGCAAAGAAAAGGTCCTCAGTATTTCACCAACCAAGTTTGCAGACTCAGTTCAGTTTATAGAGGAGACATTTCTTGAATATTTTGCACATATTTTCAATATTTTCAAACCTAGCACACTAGATGAAGTTTTGGGAAACACTTTAATACCAGTCCTTGTTTTCATCAACAGGTTGAGATAATCACCAAGGCGGAGTTGGAGTTTCCTGCTGTGACCGTTTGCAACACCAACAAGGTCAGACGTTCGGCCCTCAAACAGTCAAAGTACAAAGAGGCACTGGTCATTGATGATGGAGAGACGCTGCCTTATTACGGTAGGTCAAAGGCTAATTTTGCCACCGCAATCGCGCGGACGTGTGCGTCATATTAACGCTTGCGTGCACCCATTCATGGATTTGCCCAATTACAAACCAACTACTAACGGAAATTTCCAAAAATGCATCACTTGACTCATCTTTGGAAATGCCCTCCTTTAATTGTTTTCTTCAAAGTGACAGCATGCCAGAATGAATAATTTTACAGGGAGTTTATTGCCATTACAATCTTTAATTAATTAACGCTAACCGCCCTGAATCCTCCAAAATCCTTTTTGCAAATTGGAGGAATTTGCAGGATTGAGGTTACATGGCAAAAGTGCGTTGCTGATTTCGGAGTACACACTGTGTCAAGGTCTTGGGCCAGACCTTGCGTTGTTTATGCTCAGCCGTGCATAAATTTAGTCCTTGATTATACTTGACATCCTCCGCACTGCTCCAGGATGTCACTGCCTCTGCCTCAGCCTATTGACAGTCATAGCCGGAGGATTTTGCAGGATTCAGGCAGTGGTCATCCCTCCATGGACCATATTCAAGAAATAACGGAGGAATTTGCAGGATTGAGGCTATATGCTATTTTTCCATGAGGCCAATTGGAGGATTTTGCAGGATTGAGGCTACATCCTAGCAAAAAGGCCTAGGGAGTTAGGGTTTTAAACCAAGTACGATTTTCAACAATAATTTGGTCAGTCACTTTTTGGATAGCTGCAAATTTGAACAGTTCTTGGCTACATTTATGGCAAAGTTATCCTTGATTTCTTTTTGATGGATTGTTTTGTAATCAAGGGCCATGCATTGTAGGGGACTTTGAATGCGGCTCCAACAATCTCTGCCTGAAACAGTTCCTGCGCTGTGACGGCATCAATCACTGCCGCGATTTCAGCGATGAATTTGGTTGTAGTTATGGTAAGTACGACCGCACTTTTAAAACCCTCTGCTGAGGGATTGCGCTTCTAAAAAGAAGACAGTTTTACAGTTTTGCTTGATATCGTCATTTCTCTGGTCAAAAGAATTCATATTTCACATTAAGGTCCTCAGTTTAAAAAAAATAATTTGGTGAAAGGCCTTAGCCTGGGTGGAAGTATTGACCCTGAAAATCATAGCCAAACCCTAGCCTCTAGACAAGAACCGCATGTTTGTGTAATAAAATCATAGTTTAAAAAAGTAAAAAAAAAAAGAAGAAGAAAAGAACACATGGAACATGCAAGCAGGCATGGCTGGACCTCGGTATAAGTGGCTTCTTATTTTATTAGCTAGACTTTTCTGTACTAAATTCATTTTTTGGTCCCTTTTTTTTTTGCCTTTTGAAACAGAGAAATGTGATTCCAACGAGTTTCAATGCGCCAATGGTAGTATTTTTGGGATCTGTATCAGTTCGACGTTGAAATGCGACCGCCAGCGAGACTGCTATGACGGAGATGATGAAACAGACTGCCGTGAGTGATGAAAACAACTTGACTTAGGCTAGACTTGAACCTCGGACCCCTCGATTGCCACACTATTTACTCTGCTGACCTGACAGATAGACATATTTTGACTGTCTCAATTTTTTTTCCATTCCTTGTTTTACAAATCAATCTTTTTTTCCAGGGTGTGCTTTAAGGAGACAGGCCACCGTGAGTGATAACAAAAAATGACTCAGGCTCGACTTGAACCTTGGACCCCTGGATTGCCACACTGTTGCATTTTTTTAAAATGCAAATCACCCATCAAGGCCAAAGGCCTCTCGAGGTGTGGGCTACAGAGGAGAGTTTGGAAGAACCAACCCCTCGCACTGAAACTAGACAAGATAATCTAATCTCTTCACAGTATGAATAGGGTTGGGATGGGTAACTGGTCTACTGCAATGCATTAATAATGCCTCCACCCATATTAGGCATAGAAGTGCCATAGCCCAGGCTGGGCTCGAACCCAGAACCGGCAGAATTACCCGCAGACCACGAATTCAACGCCCAAAACCACTAGGCCATGGCACTCCACAACTGACTTTGCAGTTGCTTGATTAGTCCCCCATCTATAATTCCTATTTTGAATAAATTTTTTTTGTGGGGCGCTGTGGTCCAATGGTTAGGGTGTTCGACTTGTGTGCCGTGGTGCATGGGTTCGAGTCCTGACCGTGGGAACATGGTGCTTGTGCTCTTGAGCAAGGCACTTTACCATTATTGCTTCGTCCTTCGGATGGGACGTAAAGCCGTAGGTCCCGTGTGTTGTGTAATGCACGTTAAAGAACCCAGTAACACTTTGTCGCTAAGAGAAGGGGTTTGCCCCGGTGTTTCTGTCAACTTGACCTTTACGGTGAAAGTAGGACTATTCTGCGCTTTACTTAGACGTGCTGTAGGTAGTTGAGTATGACGGCCAAGTAGCCGATCTCTCAGGCGTTCTCTCAGGCGGTCCCTCAGGCTCAGTGGCGGGTTAGATCATACCAGTATTTACGGCCATCTACAATTATAATATAATAACCAAAAACCTAAAGAGCATTTCGTCCAATAATTCAAACAAAGGCAAGGTTAATACAATAAATTGAAACAACTGCTGTTTCGGCATACATGTAGACCGTTCTTCGTTTCAATTTCACAACCATGGCAATTCATCTAAGGTCTACACGACATTCAGGATGTGGCCTTACGTGATTTACAATTCATTTCATGGATTGTCGACTTTGCACAATGAAATAAAATGAATGTCTAAATAAGTCTATAAATATTTTAAAATAACACTTACGGTTGTGGAGAGTGCAGTTTAATTGATGCCGGGCTGAGTGTTGCGATTTTGGTCACAATCGGACCGGGGACTGCTGGTCCGAAGATCTTACTTCGGCACTGTAATTTTGCCGATCGAGCTGACAAACTGGATTTTGTGGCTGATTTCCACAAAAATCAGAATCTTGGGTTTTCTATAACCTGCTGCATTCAGGTGTCTTCGGACGGTTGATACCGGTCACATTCACACACACTCAGACTAACACGGACTAATTTTGATGATGCTTTCTGATCTGACGCTACTATCGTTCTCCCCAAGGCTTTCTCCCTCTCTCTCATTCTCTCTCTCATTCTATGTACATTTACATACCAACCAATTAAGGGAATAATAGTACCACCAACCACAATGGTTGATGACAATGCTGGAGAATGCTAGAACATGTCCTATTACATCACATCGCTCCATGCATCGAATGCCAACGCCTTAAATCTCAGTGGTTATACGTTTTTAATGGCGCGGGAACTATAGTCGTTTCTTATTGGAGAAAAACTTTAGGACTCGACTATTTATGTGCGTAGGGTGATCTCATTACCGAGTAATGAGGTGCGCGAAAATAAAAAATATAAGAAAAGAATTTACGTTGTGACAGGCAGCAATATGCGCCGCAGCACCTAGCAAAAAAGGTGCTACATAATGGGTCTCATAAGTTCATATACTTCATTTACCTGTCTTTCGTTGCATTCTCCCCCAGCGCTTTGTATTCTTTGGAAAAGGCGTTAAAAAAACGGTTATTATTATTATTATTAACCCTTTTTAGACATTTTATCTCAAGCAGTAGAAATAGTTGGGTATTTCTTTCTGTTTTTCCACCAGCTTGTAAGCCGACAGAGTTCCAGTGTCACAGAGGAGGATGCATCCCGAAGTTTTCTCGGTGTGATGACAAAAAAGACTGCGTGGACAACAGTGACGAAGAAAACTGTGGTAGGTGTTTAAGACGATGTCTGACCTTATCCGAACAGTTGAATTTGGGTTTGAAATCTCTTTAAAATTTAGACTGGCACTACATAGTCACACTTATTTTGCAGATTAAAGGTACTCTAAAACATTTGCAAACTTCAAAAAACAAAACTGCCAAATTATTACGAAATACCTTACTTGACTGTAAGTGAATAATAGTCTCAAGCATCCTCTGCAATCACGGCACCTGGTGCGGTGTTATTTTTCAATAAAAGTGGAATTTTTGTATCAATTAGCAACTATGGTTAGCAGACCATCATTGAAATTTTTTCAAACACTGCCACCAGTTAAACCAAATTTTGTTAGTGCCCATTTTGTTTGCAGACGGGAACACATCCGTCAGTGGGTGCATTCCTGCTAGTCTGGTTCCCTGACCTGACTCCTCTGTTTCGTCTTAAGTTTTTATGTACTTTTAAAGGATATACAACATTTGCTTTTGGTGTAATTTTCAGAAACGGATGGATTTTGGGTTAGCATTTTAAAGCAAATATTGTTACACTGATCTGTTTAAATTTTGTGTTCCCAGATGCTGGATAAAATCAATTTTTTTCCAACGATGGTTGGCCGACCATTGTCGGAAATCGATACAAAAATTGCACTTTTCTTGAAACTGACACATACTGGGTGGCGTGATTTCACAAGATGCCTGAGACTATCATTCTTACAATCAAGTAAGGTATTTAATAATAATTTGGTAGTTTTGTTTTTTCGGTGTTTGCATATGTTGTGTATTACGTTTAAGTACCGTTAGATCTGTTAATTTCTTTGCTTCTTAGGTAAACATTATCTGGAACTTTACAACAACTTGGTAAAATAGAAACTTTTTAGCAGGGGAGTCCCTGGTTTTGCTTTGAGGTGTCACATATTGTGCTAAATTTGTGTTTGTCGTTGGTGTACATTACGCGCAATTATTTTTGCTAACTCTTTGCAGCTATCGACGGCGAATGCACGGGGGCCTTCCGATGCACCAGCGACGGTTCATGCGTACCGATGTTTTATGTATGCGACAAAGAAGATGACTGTTTAGGCGGTGAAGACGAGACACCTGAAGCATGTGCTTCCGTTACTGCACCAACTTGTAAGCTTTTAATCTGGAAAAATTGCACTGAGAGTGATTGGACTGGGAGCGAATTTTGTTTTAGCTGTTTCGGAGTACATGCTCCCAAACAGCTTTTGTTTTTGTTCAGATTTTTTTTTTTTTTTTTTGTTCTCATTTTTCAGACTCCTCTCCATAGGTTTTGTACACGCATTTCTTCTGCCCATACACTTTGGCATTTTCGTTAAGTCCAACAATCCAACTGTTGGTCCTATTTCCTTTAGTTTCTGCACGTTCACTTTTTAGTTCTTTTCTTGTGTGATCCATCGTTGTGTTAAGGTGCATAGCAGTAAGCCAATGAGCAACCCTTTCTCAAAATGTCTTTAATGAGCACATTTTGGGTTCACAATATTTGAACAGAAAACCCCTAAACTGAACAGTGTCTTCCTGAAATGACATCACAGCAACAGTGCCCTCAGTTGTCTGGAAAAACACAGAAAATGTGTGTCGGCCGACCACCGTTGGAAATGTATACAAAAATACAATTTTTCTTAAAAAAGACTTCACACCAGGTGCCATAATTTTACAGGATGCTTTAGACTGTCATTTACTAGCACCCTAGTAAGGTATCTCGTAAATACTTGGTAGTTTTGTTTTTCGATGTTTGCAAATGTTGTATATCCCCTTCAAATTTTATTTTTTTTGTTATTATTTGCAGCTACTTCTTCGCCATGTACGACAGATCAGTTTGAATGTGGGGACGGCACCTGCATACTTAGTAATTGGGTTTGTGACGAAGATGTGGACTGTGTGACCACTCGAGCTGACGAGAACCCCATGATGTGTGGACGAGGTTGGTCTGTCTGTTTGTCGGGGTGTTTGTCTGCATTTATGTCAGGGTGGTTATCAGGGTGTTCGTCTGTCTGTTTGTTTTGACAAATTTTGCTTCACTTTTGCTTTCGTGTGAAGTATGAGCCGTCTACAGGCCCCGTAACTAAACGCTCCCTAGCTCTTAACCTCATTCTGGTATCTGATCTGGAAAACTCAAATAGTTATTCATAAATCTTCTCATTGGGATGCATGCGAATTGTTTTTGGTTTGCTGAAAGAACACGTACCTTTTATGTGCTCTGAGGAACGAACTTTCAAATGGTGTTTGTGTTCAAAATGCCGTAGCTTAAAAAGTACATGAGTGATCTTAATGATTCTTGTACTAAAAGCTTAATGACCGGGCTTTCATATCCTAGTTTTTGAAAGTGCTACAGGCAAAACTTCATTCAAAAATCGGTCCTGCCATTTGGGATGGGCTTTTTTTTTTTACTCATCCTGTACAAACCATCAAATTACAGGTGACCAAACATACGGTACGCAACGTTGCGGCGACCAGGAGTGGTTGTGTGGTAACCAGTGGCAGTGCATCCATAACACAGACCGCTGCGACCTGTGGCCAGACTGCTACAGTGAAGGGCAGATCTCGGACGATGAATACAACTGCAGTAAGTCTGTAGCGCCGTTGAAATCAGAGTCAAAATTAGAGTTGTGTCCAACTACTCAAAGGATACTTACAAGCGAATTATATATCTCGGGCTAAAATAATTTACTTTTGCTGTAATTTTCAGAACTGGACGGATTTGGGGGTTAGTATTTTAACCTTAACCGCCCTGAATCCTTCAAAATCCTCTTTGCCAAAGTGGAGGAATTTGGAGGATTGAGGTAACATGGCAAAAATGCATTACTGTTTTCGTAGGATGCACTTTGTCAAGGTCTCGGGCTGGACCTTGTGTTGTTTTTGCTCAGCCATGCATTGGCCTGGATTATGCTTGAAATCCTCCGTACTGCTCCAGGATATCACTGGCCAAGCCTCAACATATTGACAGTCACTGCCGCAGGATTTTGCAGGATTCAGGCAGCGGTCACCCCTCCATGGACCACAATATTATTCAAGAAATAATGGAGGAATTTGCAGGATTGAGGCTATATGCTATTTTTCCATGAGGCCAGTTGGAGGATTTTGCAGGATTGAGGCTGCATCCTAGAAAGGGCCAATGGAGTTAGGATACATGTATATTGTTACACTGACCTGTTAAAAGTTTGTGTTGATGGATGCTGGAACCCCCAAGAAAACAAAAGGTTGTTCTTGTACTCTGGTTCCCTGATGACCCTGCTTCAGACTAAAGGGAGCAATTTATAGACGTCCGGGAATTGTCAGGTCAGGGAACCAGACTAGCTGGCTTGCTCCCATTCACGGATGGGTAACCAATTGCGAACAAAATGTGGACTAACTACCAGTATATTTGGTAATTTGGGTGCAGTATTTCAGAAAAAAAAAGTCAATTTTGTTTCCCTTGGGTCCTCAAAAGTCTATCACAGGTCTACAAATCTCACACCCAGACACAAGTTACGGACAAATAAATTGCACATTGCTCAATTTCACCACTGCGTTTTGCATATATACGCTGTGCAGAAAGTTCTTAACACTTCCTTTCTGTTCTCAGCGTGTACATTGGCGAGTGCAGAACCGTCGTTATCGCAGAAGGTTAAGTGCCTCGGAGCGGCAGGAAGGGACACTAGTATTGGCTATCCCACCGTAGATATGAGCAGTAAGTATAGACCAAAGCGTACGTCAGCCGACTAACGGTTGATTTTAGGGGTGCGCATTTACTGGTAGTACAGGAATCGGGTACGCGATTGAAAAGCACACGGGTACAGAAAAAGTGTATTTTCTCAAGCATCATGTAAAACGTAACTCTTGCCTTTCCATATGTTCGCTCGTACCCCCCGCCCTGCAAACAGGACGCTGGTAAGGGCTGACGTCATTTGAGCTCTCATTGGATAGATTTGCGTGACCTGTGACGTAGAATGCGTCACACAAACTAGCTTCCGGTGCCCATCATGCGTAGCGCGTGCTAGCTGCATGCGAAGGTCAATCTGTACTTCCTTCACAAGATTCTGTGAAGCTCATCAGCCCTTACCAGCGCCCTGTTTGCAGGGCGGGGGGGTACCGGGTACGAGCGAATTCCATATGTAGCCTGGGTTTACATTTTGGAAATTCTCCAGGAATGACTTTCAAGACCTTCCTATTCGTTGAGATGAGAACTTAGTCAGTAATATGTGAAGTTGGTTGAAGATACTCGATTCCATAACCTGGAACCGGTTCCTGACATCAGCAGTCGGGTACTCGGGTACTCGGGTACCCGGTTCCGACGCGCAGCCCTAGTTGATAATTTGATGTAACTTACGCCCACTGATCTCTATATAAAGACTGGATAGCGGATATCCATATACCATTCACACAGTAGACTTTGCATATCGACCAATTCGCCCCCGGTCTCACGAAGATGGCCGCGTAAAGTACGAACGTTCTACGCGTATATACAGCGCGCGTTGTATCAACAGTTGACGCACATTTTGGTCACGTACACATAATGATGTTCTAAAAAGGACATATTTCCGTAGTGAATATTATTTCCAAAACGCCAAAAAAGTGAACTGCGGCATTAAAAAAGTAAAACCACGACGTAAAAAGTAAAACCACGGCTTCGCCTCGTGGAATGGAACATTTCATCTGTCACCTCATGAAATTATTCTTACCATTGCACTCACAAACATTCATTATTTGTATAATATAACATCCAAGTAGATCTTTGTCATTCGATTGGAGGATTTCATCTATATGTCCTGAATTATTTTTTCCACCACTTTGGTTCTGTAGAAATAATCACAAACTGCTGTGCCGACACTGTGCCCAAATCCAACAATTTGTTTTTTTACCATTTAAACTGACTAGAATTCCAAGGCATGAGTTGCTACAACCATCTTGAGGCCAACCCTACGCCCCAGCCTGTCTGGGATTGGGATGCGTATGTCTGCCACGGCGATGTTGTTTGTGCAAATGCGGCCACTGATTTCCCTGAGCTTTGTCAAGGTAAGTTTCACCCCAAAAATCTACAAAATGCAACTTAGTTTGAGGTCAAGCAGTGTGAAATCTTCAGCAATATTTTCAAATGCTCCCATGGATGTCATCAATTCGGGCGATTCACAATGCAGTGCGCCACCAAGAGTTTGCCACGAAGAGTTCGTTTTTGAAGGTCACGGTCGACAAAACATGGCCCATTTGAACGAGTGTCAGTAGAAAACTTGAGCTAATTTGTTATAGATTGGGGCAAAGCGTTCTGCCACCTCACAAAAAAAACTTCATATTGATAAAACGAAAAGAAAAGGGCAACAAGCAGATACTCGAATCATATGTTTACGAACTTTCTGGCTGGAAAAACTAACAATTTCAAATGTCCCATGCTGCGAATTTGTCGACCATCTCCCACAATGCACTGGGAAAAATGAACTCTCCGTGGCGAACTCTTGGTGGCGCACTGCATTGTGAATCGCCGGAATTATCACATACAGTACAAAGTGTGAATTTGTCGGAAGGTTTTTAGAATGGTGCACCTAGGTACCGGAGTTACTACTGCTACTTGTTCATGATTGGGAGTCAAGGAGATATACAAATGCTGTGTTCGTCCAATCTTTTTTTCCATGGGTATCACATCGCAACAAGTACCATAACTATAGCAGCCTTGTAGGCTAGGCTTCTTCCTAGTTCACCTTCTTGCACAGGGCCCAATTTCATAGCGCTGCTTAATAGTAAGCAGAAAAGTTGTGCTTACTATAGCAGAAAATCATGATGCTGCTTAAGTACTATTTCATGCTAACGGTTGCGCGCGCATGGAGATTTCTATTGTTACGTCACTGATTTAAGCAAAGTTATCTTCTGGGGTTAAGCGTGCTTTCACTGTGCTTACTGCTTAAGTCCCTATGAAATAGATGGAGGCTCGGTAAGCACAAAGTTGGCTGTTAAGCAGCGCTATGAAATTGGCCCCAGAAGGGTAGCGGTTCGAGTCCCACCAAAGCAGTTACTACTAATCAATTATTGGAGAGCCCAAGAGAGACCTAATAGTCAGTTCTGCGAACAACAAGTGCTTAAGAAAGCCCAGTCTATCGTAGACAGTGAAAATCATGTGCTGAAAACCATGTTTCAGTTTCTTCCATGAGGACGCCATCTCAGATGCCTCCGTGTAAAACTGACAGACAGAAGTTCTCATTCATTCCAGTGGCTATCACACTTCTAAATAATTGATTTTTGTATTTTTAGAGGTCCATCATTTTATTTGTCATCATGTGTACATTCATCATTGTATTTAAAGTATAAAAAATATTTTTTAGAGAAGTTTAATATCAATTTTAAATCTAGGTATAAGTACATGTACTTTGTAATTGTTTAAAATTGTATCTATTTATTTGACTAGTAATTATTTACTTAGTTTTTTTTTTATAGTGAGCTGTTTAAACTTATGTAATTGCCTTCTAAAGGATAAATTTTGAATTGAATTGAATTTAAAGGTGTCATTTGAAATGTGTGCGTTTTGTTTGTTTGAAGCAACAAAAGTGTTAAACATCTAAAGAAGGGTGCTGAACAACTAACCGTGTTTCAGCTCAGCTTCAGCTGTATATTTTGAGATAAACAGCATTCTAGGATCTCGATTTCAAATCAAAAGTTGCTGAATCATGTTTTGAATTGGGCCTGGATTCAGCGTACGAGACACGTTCTCAGTAAGCCGATTGTAGTTACGCGATGTTGCGCACTGATCCGATGAATTATAGCAGCCGCGCGTGTGTGTGCGTCATGCCAACGCTTGAGCGTGCTTTGCTGAATAAAAAAAGCGAACTACTAACGGAAATTTCCAACGGTGCGTCTTAAGACGCACTGTTGGATTTCTTCAAAATGACAGCTTGCCAGACAGAATAATTTCACAGGGAGTTTAGTCCCCTTACTATCTTTCAACCAAGTATGTTTGTCAACAATAATTACGTCAGTTACTTTTTGGATAGTTGCAAATGATGGACTATAGCTTTAAATGCCTTGTTCTTTCAATTCTCAGTCTTCCAAGAGTGCTACTTGGCTCCAAACGCCCAAGACTACCGAGGGCGGGTAGGCCACACGTCTTCTTCAACCCTGTGTCAAGACTGGAGTAACGACACCGCTGTCAATGCGGGCTTCTCCCCGGACGTCTACCCAGAGCTGCTTGGTCCCGTCTGCCGTAATCCTGGTGGCATTCGCAGCTTCGCTTGGTGTTTCAGGGAAGGTGCAACCACTGCGGATGACTGGGAGCTGTGCGACATCGGGCCGCCGTCGGCAACTTGCCACCCTGGTAGAGCCCATTCAAATTCAAATTCATTCATGGACCATATTCAAAAAGTAATGGAGGAATTTGCAGGATTGAGGCTATATGCTATTTTCCCATGAGGCCAATTGGAGGATTTTGCAGGCTTGAGGCTACATCCTAGCAAAACGGCCTAGGGAGTTAGGGTTAATGTGATAGAGCTATATTAAATTACTAAAGCGCTAACTCCTCATTCTTACGCGCAGAGACGCTTTGAAGCCGCTCTGGGTGCAGACATGTGCGTGTTTGTAGAAAACGATCCAAATAGATGGATTGCATTTTAAAAGTGTACTCTAAATGCAACGCGCAAGTAGAAGATACTCAAACGACTTAAGCGCGTCATGACGGTTCAAAAAACGTCACGGCGAAAAGCATCTGCAGTGGAGGAACGTGCACACGTTACACTGTTGGCGTAGAGCAAAATGAAACGCTCATTTGCTGCTAGTGCGTTTCGGTTTTTGGCATATCGGCTTCGATGACACATTGGTATGGAATACAAACGCAGATATGCAAATAGCTGTACAAAAGCCGTACAAAATTTCGAGTTTTCCATAGGTTTGTGCACAAACATGGATGCGCCCATCGTGCATTACTTTGTACATCGAGTTAGCGCTCTAGTAATTTAATACAGCTCTATGGTTAATGTATTTATTAATTCATATATTATAATAATTTGTTTATTTTTTTAAATTAAGGCGTGGACCTACCGGTCCGCCTGGCCGGCAAAGTAAATCCCTCGGAGGGTCGGGTGGAGGTACAGCACCAAGGGGTGTGGGGAACGGTCTCTGACAGTGACTGGACCATTGAGGATGCCACGGTGGTCTGCAGGCAGCTGGGATTTGATGGGGCCTCTGGACGAAGCACCTTTGCAGCCAGCACGGGAAGCATATTCATGTCACAGGTAGGTCTATATCTTGTGAATTTGAATATTGGATGCTGCTGTTACCATCTGAGGAATTATAGGTTTCATTACCAGAAAAAACCTTTAAAACAGTGGTTGTGTTTTAAATTCGGTAACTTGCAAAGTACATGAGTGATTTGAATGATTCTTGTACTAAAAAAAGTTTAGGAATTGGGCTTTCATATCCTAGATGTTGAAAGTGCTACTTGCAGAACTTCACTAAAACAATAAACCCGACATTTGGGTTAAATTTTTTTACTCACCCTGTACAGTAACTCCTGCCAGTTCATACCGCATTGTGGAAAACCTTTTTTTTTAGCAGAGGAGGCATCTTTGTTGTACACAATATTCTCAAGTTCGGCATCATTGAGCTCGGGAAAATGCTAATTAACATTTACGTGTGCCGCCATCTTTTCGTGTGTAGCCAGGGTGATGTTTGCGTGTGCGTAATACACCCAATGTGACAAATTGCTTCATAGAGCACACACTTTGTAGAGTAACTCGTGTGATAGTCTACTACGCATGCGTGTTTACCCTGTGCATGAAGACCCTCCCACTGACGGAAATTTCCAAAAATGCATCATTAGACACATCTTTGGAAATGACTTTCTTTATTGTTTTCTTCAAAATGACAGCATGCCAGAAGGAATAATTTCACAGGGAGTTTATTGTCATTACTATCTTTAAACCAAGTATACTTTTCAAAAGTAACTTGGTGAGTTACTTTTTGGATAGCTGCAAAATATGTAATCTACCTTTAAATTAAAATTCATGAAGCATACAATTTAAATAAAGCCCCCCCCCCCCAAAGTCTCCGGTTTCTGGTATGCGCGCACTTCACCGTAGCCATGGGCGTCAGCAAAATTGAAAAGTTTTTTTTCAATGTAAGATGATGTCTGAAAACCGCCAAACTCACTGGTTTGACTGGAATCCTGCTGCTGCACAATTTTAACATGTTTTTAGATGGGGTTGCGATCGAGTATAAGCTTTACGTGGCCTCTCTGGGCTCCAATACATTTTGCACTAAATTTAGTCGGGCACTGTTTGCAGTCATCAGCTGACATTTGAAGAAAAAAAGGGAAAAAAAGCCGCGTCGCTGCACCACTTTTAGGGCAAGCTCCATACCAGAAACCAGAGACTTTTTTTTGGCCTAATGGAAGTTGGCAGTGGGACTTACATTGAGCTTTGCTAATGGACCTGATGCTTCTTTAGTGTGTACATGTACATTAAAGATTGAGAGCCCATTATTTGATGCGTGGAGATACGCTAAGTTATACCGTGGCCCAAACTACATATACTTGTGACCGTGTGCATGGACCTTAGCTAATGTGCTTCATCTTTAAGAGATCTTGCCAAACTCACACGTCAATCTGTCGACGGACATTTAGGAGATACATATTGGTATGTAAGGAGGAATCACTTGGATTTGTTGCTCAGTCTGTATCATAAAAAAAAATGAAACTGCTAAAGTTTCCAAGCCTGAATTCATTTTTCAATAGATTAGGAGTTGAAACAGCTACTTGAAGAGGAAGAGCGTACAATATTTTTGGACTGAACTGTTCAACTACTTATGAATTGCAGCTGTGATATTTTTCTTCCACCACTGAACTTTAACAACCTTCAAAAGCAAAGCATTCTAATTTTGTGATGCACATGTAGCTGATGATGCGTACATGTACATGACGGTAGTTGGAGCATTACTGCGGTATACACGCACAGTTCCTGTCTTCAAATTGATGTTTTACGAGAGATGGTCAACATGAGTGTTACTGTGGACAATACGACAGCGACAGAAGATGTTGCTAACGTCACACACAACCCCGAAGGCACAACATATCCAGATGATGGATTGAAAACACTTGTCCTTGTTCTTAACTTAATCCTGATACTGACCATCAACCCGGTGTGCTTGTTGGTCGTCCGACGAATGGCCAACATGCAACCAACCACCAAGAATTTCATGACGTCCTTCCTAGTCTGCAATGTGGGATCCGGCGTATTTGTACTTTTCCCGGGAATACTCTTCGTCTATTCTCCCTCGAGATTTGCCGTGCACGGCATTCTATTGAATCTCGTTTACTTTGCGGTTTGGTTGTTTATCACTGCTCCACTAATGTCGCTGTTCCTTTTGACTGTCGATCGGTACCTGGCCGTTGCCTGGTGTCTGCATTACCCCCGCTTGATGACCGTCCGAAGATCCAAGATTTTCATTTTGATAAGTTGGGTTGTCAGCATGACACTTTCCATATTGGAAATGGTTAGCACCTTTTTTCCTGTGATATACCACCTAATTCAGACTTTCATCGTTTGTGTGATGATACTTACGCTGTTGTTAATCTTGATGTTGTACTTGCACATTTTGGTGATTGCTCGACGCCAGGCTCGGCGCATTGCCCAGGACAACCAAGCCGTCGCGGGAAACAACGCACCGCAACGAGCCAGCACCAAGTCCTTCACCACAATCTTCATCATCGTTACAGCTGTCATTGTTGGCTGGCTACCATTTCTCATAACGTCCGTCCTTGAAAGTTTCAACGTCATTGCACCCCAACCTTCTTTGTACTTTGTGTTAGACTTTCTGTATTATTCCACCAACTGGTTCAGTGCAGTCATTTTTTGTGCCAGAAACCAGGAGTTCCGACAGACATTGAAGCGAATGTCACCCGCCTGCTGTCGACGCCTGTGGTAAAAAAAAAGTGAACTTCACTTAAGTGGTGTTCGCATAGGACAATTTGTGAAAAGTTACTGCCGGTGATTTTGACTACCGTATGTCTGTACTGGATGAATTTCAGACGACGGAAAGTCATTCGAAGAGCTAACAAAGTGTAAATGTTTAGCAACTCATTTGGCCCAGTAAAACTGAATGTGACATGCTTAAATAGCCCACATTTTTTAATGTATTCTTTTAGTTTCAACTTTGTGTGCCATTTAACCATATTTTCAATTTTCATTTTGCCATTTTATGGAATTTTTGTGCCTTTTTGGTCTTTATGCTAATGCAAATTTGCATATTCATGACAGAGGTGTGATGACATATCAGGCAAAGACCTTAATGTTACAGCTTTTTCAGCACCAAAAGTTGCCACAATTGTTGATATCTGCTGTTATCAATTTTCTTTTCTTGGATGATTCTTTATTTTTTCAGTACATGACATTAGGACAGTGAACAATGCTTTCTTCCAAAAGTTTTCAACGAGCAAATTTTGGGTGCACAATTTGAAGGGAAATCCCCTTAGCTAAACAGTGACTTCCTGAAATCATAGACATAAAATAAAACCTAGACACGACATTTGCTATTGCGCCTGAGAGCAAAATGCTGCACGTATTATGCAAACACTCACCACAGGCGTGATGCGTCGCGCAAGTGAGCGGTCCCACTGCGCGCGTTATTTGAAATCTTTTGGTCCCGTACGCACGCGGGAAAAAACGAAGTGGCGCACAAGTGCATTGGCGCTGGCCTGAACATTCGGGGAATACATATGAAGTATGGAAGCCACATGATGCAGCCACGTGACGCAGCCCGTTTTGCTCACAGAATTTACAACGTAAAAAGCAGATAATGTCGTGATGCAGCCACGTGACGCAGCCCGTTTTGCTCACAGAATTTACAACGTAAAAAGCAGATAATGTCGTGTCTAGGTTTTATTATATGTCTATGCCTGCATTGACAGCACAGCAACAGCGCCCTCATTTCTCAGGAAAAGCATGGAAAGTTTGAAAAGTTTTAAGCCCACTTTTCAATCAGCTTAACCCAAATAGTTTCATACGTTTCAGAGGAGTGAAAAGTTGCACAAAATATGTTCCCAAGTAAACTTTACATCATGGGCCCTTCACATGTACTTCAAAACTCACAGTCGACATTTGACAATTTTGGAAGTTGACCAGAGCTGTGCACTGGATTTAAATTGGTTATGTTGCCAACAGTCTCATTCAGTTTAATACCAACTTTTATGTCTCGTTGAGAAGTGAATTAAAAAGTAGAAACTTTGCACTACAAGTTAAAATTGTGAAGAGTTTCTTCTCAAACGATGTGGCTGTAAAAAACATGCTGAAATAGCTCCACAAGAAGTACATGTAGTCACTGAAGATTATGTACATGTACAGTGAAATTTAGTAAGCCATTTTGTTATTCAAATAAACAATGTTTTAGCGTATTGTTTTTAATTGTCACAAAGTGGTTCACTTTGTAATTAACACTTAAGCGTCCATCTTTGTCTTACAATGTATCTTAATGCTGAAGGTTGACTAAGCTCATAAAATGTGCTTAGATGACGAAGCACTATGGTTTTCAGAACAGTATTTAATATAATGTGAATTTTCTGCGTAAGGCAAAAAAAAAAAAAATCGGTCTCTGGTCAGCGCGCGCGTCGGTTTAAATCATGCGCGTCGATCTTTTTTTCCCCCAAAATGTTCCGTGGTAGCTCCAACAGCGCCCTCTATTTTCGCACCTCCTCAATTTTTTTTACCAAAGAGCACCAAGGAATGGGAAATTGCACCAAGGCAAATGATCGAAAGCACCAAGGCAAATTATGGAGGACACCAATGTACATGAGGACACCAAAAAAGCAAAAAAGTACATGTACCCACCTTGTCTGTACAATCCAAGCTTGAAGAAAAAAAAAAAAAAAAAAAAAAAAAAAAGCCGCGTGGCCGCGTCAATTCCGGAACTTTGGTCTGACCAGAGACCAATTTTTTTTTTTTTGGCCTAACGTTAAGTGTTTCTAAGTGGTTTGTTTTGTAATTTAGTACTTAAGCACAAAAGCCATCAATCTTTCTTTCTTGTCGAGTTTAATGTGAAGGGCCTACAAAGTAAATGTGTTTAAACTGGAAAGCACCGTGGAATTCTTGAAACACTAGTGTTGAAGAAAATGCTTATCAAGTTAATGTATGTATACAAGAGGAGAGGTTTTTTTGTTTGTTTGCAATATTTAATCCCTCTGCTTGTCAATTATGACACTTTTAATGTCTGGAGAACTTGCAATTTCACTAGCTGACATGTA